AACTCACATATCCCGCTTTTTGGTTTTGTTTTTTTCTGATCATTTTCCTTCATACACTTCAAGAAGTTATTTAAGTTCATATATGTACAATATGCACATTAATTCTCTTGGCTAGAATCTTGCCCTTAATCTTTTTATTTACAGCAATGGCCACAGAGTGCTAAATTCTGTCTATACCCTTGATATGTGCAGTATCACTTTTTTCTGTAAATTTGCATATGAACAGTCAAAGGGACAACTCCACAGTTGTAAAAGTCCCTAGAAAACACTATCACCTGTTCCTGTCATCTTCCCTTTTGTGTTAGTTATTTTGGCATGGCATCTGGAAATGGTTTTTGCCAAAAGATAATACCTGTGCTAGAAAGTGTCCTTTCTTGATTAAGAAGATAACCCCAATGTGCTGATCAGTTCTAAAATCAATAAAAATGAGAGGATGCAAACTGATGGACTTGGTTTTTTTCATTGTTTATAGGAATAGAATGAGGCTATATTGAACCAAAGTTGTATGAAGTAATTTGTGACCAAGAGAGCCTACTGTATCCATCTGAATATAGAAGCTGCCCTTTTCCCCTCAAATCTGAGTTTTATAAACTGAATATGTCCTGTACCATTCATTCATTCATTGATTTGCTATATACCTAAATATTTTCCTTTGAAAAAGACCTCATTTTAGGGCTGTGGCCTGTATTTGGAGCAATATGTTATTTGACATGAGAATGGATGGACATTATTAATTTTTTGTGACATGACTAATGATTAAAATACTATTGAAATTTAAAACTGAGTAGTAATTAGACCCTTGCTTCAAAACTTCAAAAGAATTGTGACGGTTCTTTCCCTGAGTATTTGATGAAAATTATTTTCTCTAGAATTGTTCTGCTAATAACTTTGAAGTTGCTAAATCTAATGTTTTCTTTTCTTAGTCTTCCTCCTTCGTGACCTTTGTACTGCTTTGGCCACTGCTGATCACATCTTCCTTTTGGATATGCTGTACTCTTTAGACTTTTGTGACTGTGTGACCTCTCTTGGTTCTCATTCCTTTTTTTTTTTTTTTTTGCTAGGCAATGGGGTTAAGTGACTTGCCCAGTGTCACACAGCCAGTAAGTGTCAAGTGTTTGAGGCTGGATTTAAACTCAGGTCCTCCCGATTCCAGGCCTGGTGCTTTATCCACTGTGCCACCTATCTGCCCCTCTTGATTCTCATTCTTGCCTGACTGCTCCTCAGTCTTCTTTGTTGGATCATCATCTATGATCACTCTTACTATGGGCTTCCCCTGAGGCTTTATCCTGGGCCTTCTCTTTTCTTTTTGGGCTCTCACACAGATGACTTCCAAATCAGTGTATTTGACCTTAATCTCTCTGCAGAACTCCAGTTCAAAGTACCATAGAAATAAACTCTAGCTGGTAACAACTATCTATTGGACATTTCCCCCAGATGTATAGTTATCATCTAAAAGACTATATATAAAAAACAGGACATGTTTTCTTCCAACTACTACCCTAATCTAGTCTCTCCTATTTCTTTTAGAGGTACCATCATCCCTCCATTTGCCCAAGTTTACAGTCAGGCTTTTTATCCTTGAAGCTTTCCTCTTTCACCTCCTGCTTCCTCAAATTTTCTTGCATTTCTTTATCCATATACTTACTAGTCAATGTCTTGAGGAATTATGGTGCATTGAATGTTTTAGTTTGTTGCACTATGGGAGAATCGAGACCACACCTTTTCTTTGCAATTAAGAGCAATCATTTGTGTTAAGTTCTTTGTGAGTTCAAGATCTGATGTTTTGATATTAGTGTGTGCATATAGTAGACAGTTTTTGTTTATTTTGCAAGTACTCTGTTTACATTCTACATATGCTGGGTAAGTAAAGTTTATATTAAACAAAATTATAAATTTTCTTTTATCTTTAGTAACATAGCATCCCACATTTTTCAGCACTCTTTGAGAATCTTTTATTATTGATTTATTTTTCTCTTCCTCTCCCCTCTTCCTCCCTCCAAGTACAATCCAATCTCCTTAAGGTCAGGTTTCAGTTTTTTGTTTTTAATCTTGGTTTGTCCATGTTGCTGTTTGTCCTTGTTCGTGAAGAGGACCATGACGTTAGGAAGGTGATGTCATGACTTACAAGTGAATTGGATTTAAATGAAGCAGGGCTATGCAAAGTCACCAGCCTCATTCTCCCCTCCAGAGACATCTGAGTCCAGTGGTAAACTGTAGATCGGGGATGACTGGAGATGGCCTTGGAGGCAGTGGGAGACCTTGGCCTTTTTAAGCTAAGGTCTTTCCCAGGTCTCAGTTTGTCTGAGGCAACACCCATTCATTGATTAAGGCTAGGTAAGAGATAAGGCAAAGAATGACCTCTTTTACCTAGGCAAAAAATATACACATACATGTATGTATGTATGTATGTATGTATGTATGTATGTATGTATAAATCTAGGAGGGGAAGACCCTCAGGGTTTCTGGCCAAAAGAGAAAAAAATGCTATTTACATTCACTTTGCGCCATTGGAGCCCAAACAATGACTAAGAGAGGCTTAGGCTGGGAGCTGTTGTTGGCCAATCAATGAGAGCCAGAGTTATTTGGGTTTAAGGCTTGGACCTTAAAAAGAAATCTAGCCCATAAATTCCAAGATATCTTGGGAGGTTTCAGCAATCAAAATTTATATTCCTTTGGGCAGAGTACCCACAGGTAAGGATATGATTCCTATTATGGACAGAGGAAGAGGAGGGAGGGAGAGAAGGAGGGAAAGAAGGAAGAAGGGAAGGAAGAAAGGAAGAAGCAAGAAACTGCATTGCTCAAGTGGAACTGACCAGTTAGGGGATCCAGAGGGATACTACTAGTAACTCAGACATTGTTGTTTATCCCTTGTTCTTGAAAAGAACGATGAAGTCAGGAAGATGATGTCATGAATTGCAAGTGAATTGGATTTAAATGAGGCAGGGCTGTGCAAAGTCACTCACCTCACTCTTTCCCCCAGAACCATTAATCTTTGAATCCTTAGGCCCATTATGAACACATTAGGTACCTAAGAAATATTTGTTGAATTGAATTGAATTTTACTTTATTAAAATATATTGCCTGCAACCAGATAGTACACTAAATGGAAAGGCTCGAAATAAATGTGAGATGTGGACCAGGTGGAGCAGTAAGGACTGACTCAATTTATTCATCTAAGGGTACAGGATATATAGAGAAAATCCATCCTAACTTCAAAGAGTCCTCCCTGTGATAACATACATTTCCTCCTTATCAGGGTTCCTAGATAGGGTTGTAAATTCCAAGGGTTTTTCCTAGCGCCTGTATAGAGGAGTGAATATGTAAATCTAAGGTTCAAAGAGTGAGAAGGAATGCCTCAAGAGCCTACTAGCAGGGAGAGATTTGGAGAGCCCTGCTTTCTTAAACCCATATCGGACTCTTAAGAGCGGCCCTCAACAAAAACATTTATTTATTTATTTCTCCCAGTCAGGGAATGATGTAAGTGGTTTGGTTATTGGTTGATTGGTGTTTGTTGCACATGTTTATTAGTTCATTAAAAAATAATAGTTTTATTCTACTTAAATGCTTACATGGAAATGTGATCTCATTAATTTAAGAGATCCCTCCAGTGTGCATATTGCAACCCATCCTTGTCTGCCCATCTTGTACAACTCCTATTAATATCTTCCTCAAAATTTACCAGGTGATAAGACCTGGATAATACCATAAAGAATGAAATAAGATTATATTTTAGCAGATAGGTAAAGACTTGTGGTTGTATGTAGTCAGCTCATGATCTTATTAATGATTACGATTGGAATTAATTGAAAAAAGAAAAAAAGATATACAAAAAAGATATGCTATATAATTGAAACAGCTTAACTTTTGACTATAGAAAACAATTGAAAATTAAAAAGTTGGAAAGAACAATAGAAATGATATCGACACCAACTATAATCTATCTAGGAGTTTAACGGTGTAAAAATCCCTAAAAAGTGCTTTAGTCAACAAGCATCAGACTTACTGGCAGTCAAAAGCAATACTGGGTTAGACTGTAAATTCATTTATAAATCTTATTAAGAAGAATGATGGACAGGTTTTTTTTGGCATATTCTATCACAAAACAAAAGCTTTGCGAGGTTTCTTTAAATTGATTTTACCTTTCATTGCTTTCTATTTTGTGAGATAATATTGCAACTCCCTAACACTTATCTGTGTTCTTACAAACAATTTCATTACTGGGAACTACCTGCACTGATCAAATCCCAGGCCAGTCATCCTGTTCCCCCCCACACTCCCAGTTATAAAAGCTTATATTTTTATATAACCCTTTAAGATTTGCAGAATACCTTTTACATGTTAAATTAATCCCAGAGATCAGAATTAGGACTGATAGGTAGAAATTGCAGAAGGGAAGATTTCAGCTTAATATAAGGAAAAGCTTACCAGCAGTTTAGAGCTGTCAAAAAGAAGAGAAATGGACTGATTTGCAAGTTAATGAGTTCCCTTCCTCAGATGGTTTTAAAGCAAAGGCTGGATTGCCAATTTGGGGGTTTTGTACAGAGGACATCAATTTCTTCATCATAAAATGAGGGCGTTGGACTCAATGGACTGTAAGGTTCCCTCCAGTTCCAAATCTATGATCATATGGTCTTTTGAATGACCTCTGACTGTACCTCTCAAATAATTTACTTTTATATTGAATATTATTTAAATTGTGCAGTTTTTTAAATCAGATGTTTTCTGTTCGCCTAAATGTATTAGACTTGAAGACAGAATGATTGATTTTGAGTTCATTTTTTGCTGCATTATTCATTTGGCATTGAGCCAACTGTCACTTTCATCATCTATAACAACATTGGTATTACTACTTATCTCAGGGTTGATGAGGAGTGAAATGAAACAATGTTTTATTACTGTAAAATATTTTATAAATATGAGTTTTAATTATGATTTTCTTCATAATTTTTGGTGTTCCACTAGAAAAGTTTCTAGCATTTTTCTTTCTGTTTATTCCCCAGGGTACCTTGGACATCAAAGTAAACATTTTCTTGTCTGAAGATCATTGTCATTAATCTTTACCATGGCATCTGGAACTGAGTCAGTTATGTTTAAAGAGTTTTGCCCCTTATACTATCTCCTCAGTGCCATTCCAGCTAAGATCCAAAAGGGCTTTCGCTCTATTGTGGTTTACCTCACAGCACTTGACACCAACGAGCACTATATTGCAGTGGGCAGTAGCATTGGGATGCTCTATCTTTACTGCAGACAGTTAAATCAGATGAAAAAATACAATTTTGAGGTAAGTTTGTTCTTCAGCACAGGGCTACATTAAATAAAGTCACGTGGCATAGTAGGAAAAGACTTGGATTTTAATATCTGTCAGTCTATCTGAATATCTTAAAAAGTTAGGTCCTGCTTTGTAGAAAATGGCGGAATGTATATTTCATAAAAGGGTAAATACTGGAATCATTTTGGTGGCTTATTTAATTTTCATCGTATATCTATGTCTTTTTAATAGTCTTTCAAAGGTTTCTGAGTTATTAGGTATTTGGTAATGTTGGCAGTTCACAGTGAAGATTAATCTTTGGCCCACTAAAATGGGCCATTTATGTCTGTGCTGCAGAAACTACCGCTACCTTTTTGTAAGCATTTATTCTTTTAAAAGCCCTTGATCTTTCTATTATGTTAGAATGTTATTGTTTTAAAATTGTTGTTAAATCTTGTGGAAAGAGGTGCTGAATAGGACTCCAGTGCAATGGGAGGAAGAGTCCTAAAGTTGGAGTCAAAGGACCTGTGTTCAAATCCTGACTACCACTGGACCTTGAGTTTCCTTATATAATAAGGGAGTTAGCCATCACCTCTTAGATTCTTTCCAGCTCTAAATCTTTGATCCTGCAAGTTGTGACCATGGATGAATCATTTCATTTCCCCGAGCCTTAGTGCTGGCATCTGTAAAATAGGAGTTATAAATCTGTCTACTTCACAGTGCTGTTGTGAGGACAGTGTTCTGTAAAAACTGTAAAGTGCTATGTAAATATGAGCTGCTGTTATTCTCCTACTGCGCATTTGGGTGTAATGGGGATCATTGTTTTAAGTCTATCAAAACAGCCGGTGCCTACAAAGAGCTTCAGATGTTCAGGGGTTCAGAAAAATTTCAGAACACTTGAATCAGGATTTTCTTTTCTCTTGTCTCATTTAAAAACTTACACACACATACATATACACATATACACATGCATACGTGCACATATGCACACACACACACATATATAAACTAACACAGGTGAGAGGTATGACTTTTGGTTTTTTCATCTGCCAAGTGAAGGGGCTGTGTTAGATCCCTTAAGATCCTTTAAGATCCCTTCCAGTTTCAGGGTCATCTGGGAGGTACAGTGGATAGAGTGTTGGACTCTGAGTTAAGAAGACCTGACTCTTGCAGCCTTAATTTCCTTAACTGTAAAATGGGGATAATAATAGCACCTACTGTGCAGAGCTGTTATGAGGAACAAATGAGGTTCTAATATTTATAAAGTGCTTTGTAAACCTTAAAGTGCTATATAGATGTTATCAATTATTATTAAATCTTTTGTTAATTAAACTAGCATATATTGCATCAAAGTGAAGCCTGCGGCTATGTTGGTGATCTTTGCTTACTTTTTAGTTTTAAAATGCTTAGCCGAGTGCAGTTTCCCTAGTTTGACAGGTTTGTTTTACTTTATTAGGGGAAAACTGAATCTATAACAGTTGTTAAACTCTTAAGCTGCTTTGATGATCTTGTGGCAGCTGGCACAGCCTCAGGCAGGGTTGCAGTCTTTCAGCTTGTGTCTTCATTGCCTGGGAGAAATAGACAGGTAAGTGCTAAAACTTTTAAAATATTTTACACATTTTGGCAAATTCCTGATGGAGTTTAATGGATTTATTTTTAATGCTTTATCATCTGGGGAATAAGTATTCAGAACAAAATAGTAAATAATTTTAAAGTGCTTGTGCAAAACGCCTTGAAGTTTTCTTGTACACGTTTTATTCCAGACTGAGATGGTTGATGAAAAATTACACCTGTGTAGATTGACATTCTGATTCTAATGTTTTTAAGCACAAGTTCCATTAGTAGTCTCATTTTAGAGATGTGGAGACTGGTTCTCCCCCACTTGTTTGGGAACTGGATGTGGGGTGGCAATAAGAACTATGAATAAGTGGATGAAGGTTGTCGATTTATGTGCCAGAAACAAGGGGTGGAAGAGAAGTAAGTTATACCCTTCTTTCCTCTCTATCCACATGTGAATGATTTTTGCATATTCGTGTCTTCAGCCTTATAATCTCAAGCTTCTTCCTTTTTTTTTCCATGTACTTTATTGACATTTATGCATAGCTTCGGAGATTTGATGTAGCTGGTATTCACAAAAATAGCATTACTGCTTTGGCTTGGAGTCCCAATGGCATGAAGTTATTCTCTGGAGATGACAGAGGGAAAATTGTCTTTTCTTCTTTGGATCTTGACCAGGTACATATTTTTAAAGGTTACAAATGTTGGTTTTTAACCTTTATGTTTTTATTATAAAACCTTAAATCCCAAAATCAAAATTTTATTTTTAGCCAGTCAGCTAAGTATTCTTAAGAATGATACCCTTCTAATCTCAAATTTTTTATATAGCAGTTTATTGCAAAGTCTCTTCAGATAGTTTATAAAACCCAACTTTTCTCAGTAAGAGAGTGGCCTGCATCTCTGATGGAACATTTATGGCTCTCCCTTTGGGTCCACTATTTTGGGAAGGTTCCTTGAAGTGAGAAAAAACACTTCCTAAGTCATAATTGTAGACAAGTGCCAAAGGTTTCAGTGGATATTGAACTGGCCACTTGACAAACCTTGTTAATGGCCTTCTCCCCCTCCCTACTGGGAGGGGGAGCAGGAGCTGGGGGTAGCAGAGGACGGTGCTGAAAGAACTATTCCTAGTCCCACCTTCATAGCCACAAGAGCAGTTGGACGTTTCTTTATAGCACTCTGCATTTTGCACAGTGCTTTCTTTTGGCTATAACAACCCTGTGAGGCAATTATTGTTTCAGTTTTATAAATGAGGAAATTGAGGCTTAGAAATGAAATGACCTATCCAAGAACCTACAGCTAGTAGGTGGTGGAAGCATGAACTCAAATCTTCCTACTGCAAATCTGTTGTAATGCTGTGCTCTCCCCCATAATGCTCAATGCTCTTCCATCACACAGCTCAGGACATGGTGCCTAAATGTAGTAGATGTTGATTGTGAGGATTGAATAAGATAATAGTGAAAGTGCTTTGCAAACTTAAAGTGCTACATAGATATAAATTACTGCAATTTTAGTTAAACTCTTCTTGAGGTGTAATACTTGATATCACACAGTTCCAGGTCATTTATTGTGGTCACTTTGAGATAATTGGAGATTCTGAGCTTCTCATTATAGAAGCACAGTGGGGGAAAAGGCATCTTGTGGAACAAATGTGAAGCTGGAGTCTCACTGTAACTTTGTAGAAAGAACACTGGACACTTGGGTTAGAATCCAGACTCTAATGCTTAGTAGCTAATTTTCTCAGCTTTAAATGGGCTAATAGTAGTATATTACTTGGTAGTTTCCCTTTGAACTTGAAAGAAAATACTGTGAGGTAAAAATTAATTTATCCATGTTTTCACCAGCAAGGAATTTTCAAAAGCATTATTTAGAATGGGATGCCACAGAGTTTAAAGTATTGAAGCATGAGGTTCAAGGTGTAAATTGACTCAAATACTAAATTTCTGAATTAGCAAACATGTTTAGTTTTCAAGAATGATAATGATCAAAGTTAGAATGTTTTAGTTGAAAATTGATGATATATTTTTTTTTTGTAAGGGAGTCTGCAACTCCAGCTTGGTATTAGAAGAACCATCTTCAATTGTGCAGCTGGATTATAGCCAGAAAGTTCTTCTGGTCTCTACCTTACAGAGAAGTCTGCTTTTTTACACTGAAGAGAAATTGGTCAAGCAAGTTGGAACCCAACCAAGAAAAAAGTAAGATATATATGCCTTAATTTGAGCACTTCAGTTGAGTCAGAACTTTGTCCTTACTTTGATCTTTTGGAGTAAGTCCAGTAAGTTCAGATACTTCATTATATCTTTGATTTCATCAACGCAAATCCATTGTCTACCCCTACATGTGAGCTATCTACTCCTCATTCTATGTGATTCTTATCCATTTGCTCTTGAAACCCTTCTAGAAGATTTTCCCAGTGTTCTGAAGGCCTTCCCCTAGAACTTTCAGCATTTCATGAGAACCTTTGTAATAGTTAGATTGTTCAACGTATCCACTGGTATCACATAGCCTACCTACCTCCTTTTCTAATCATAGTTTCCTGGATTATGTCTTTTATTTGACTTCTTATGTGTATTTGTCTGATGCCCCTTACCGAGTTTGGGAAAGCCTAAGATAGCTGTGTAATCTACAAGTACTACCTGGGGGAGATGGGGTTTCTTTCCTTCTAAGAGACTATTGATCAGTGTTGACCTAGGAGATGCTTACACTCTCACCATCAGAGTTTATAGCTGCAACCACTATTCCATCATTTCAAAAGTCGTGTAGTTTAAATTACCAGTTACTAATACTAGCTCACATTTACATAATACTTTAAAGTTTTCCAAGTGCTTTCCTCATAAAGCCCCTGTGTGGTAGGTATTGCAGTTATTATCATCCCCATTTAGCAGATGATGAAACTGGTATTTGGAGAGATAAAGTGAGTTTGCCTGTCCTTACATGCTATCGAAGAGGATGACCAACTTTCAGCCTCAGGTTTCCAGATTCTCATTCAAACAATCTTTGTACTCTGCCACGCCTCCTGTTTAGTGTGAGAATCCCTTCTGTAATATTCATAAGCACACAAAATTTGAGAAGTGGGAGAGACTCAGGGGTCGTTTAGTCCAACTTGTATCTGAACAAGAACCTCTTCTATACCATCTATGAAGGCTTAGCTGTAAAGCTGGCCTTATGTTTTTATCATTTGAAGGGATTCTTCCTTTGAGCTCAGTGATCAGACATGATGTTGAATTGAAGTTTTGCCATTTAAAAAACTTCAGTGTCAACTCACCAAAATTCTGTTCTGATGATCTTTATTTTAGAGCAGAGTTTTGTGTAAAACTCTTGGTAATGAGATTTAATTAGCAAAGAGCCTGACAAGTCATTGAGGCTGCTGAAATAAAAAAGAAATGCCTAAGTCATTTCATCCTTTGAATATATGGCTTAAACCCCAAGGACAGTACTACATTGAGGGTCAAGCATTTTATCGTGTAAAATGAATGTGAATAGTGGACAAATGAACAAGACTTGTAAAGCTCAAGCAACTGAATATAGGGATATTAATACAGTTGTGACTTGGCTAGGGCCTAGTATAGCATTAGGATTGGAGGGAGAAAAGCTATGTAGTGCAGGGAAAAGGACAGTGGACTAAGACTCAAGGACCTGGATTCTGTTCCCTGCCTTGTCACTGACACTCCCCCGACACACCTTCCCTTCCCCAATTAGTTTTCCTCATTTAGAGACTACAAATATTTTAGTAGAAAGAGCACTGTGTTTAGATTCAGAAGACTTGGGTTCAAGTCCTGTCTCTGTTACTTAATACTGGTATGTTCTGGAACAAGTCACTGAACTTGTTGGTGTTGCATTTTTCCTTATCTATAAAATTAAGAGGTTAGAATAGGTGATGTCTAGTCTCTTCTAGATCTAAGTCCTGTGACCTAGTAGAAGAAATTGCATACAAAGTATTTCCTAGCTTTCTGGTTCTCTGGAATTAATTAGTGCTATCATGGATGTATAACAGAAGAATAATCGGTAGGACTTAGTGGAAGATAAGGCGGAGAGAAAGAAGAACTAAAGACCACTGTACAGCTTGCAGTCTTGGGGTGATTCTGGTGATGCTGTTGCTGTTGCTGCGTAGGTCTCACACAGACACAGACACACACAAGTAAGGCAGGTATCTTTATTTATTTTATAGCTGAGAAAACAAAGGCTCAGGGAGATTAGATGATTTGGCCAGTCATGTAGCTAATTAAGTGCAGATCTAAGACTTGAACCTAGCTAGGTTTTTTTTACTCCAAGCCTAATACTCTTTCCACTATATCCCAGTGACATTAATGGGGAACTTCTAAAGGAGTACTGAAACAGACTGGTCATCTGGGCAACACATTAATTTTGTATTTCACAGTAGTCCTGATATTGATAAATTTTGAAGAAATGAAAGGACAACACTCCCACTTTAAGCATTAGGCCCAGAATTATTTTATATGACACTTTAAAGAGGAAGGATTGAGGAATTTTAATAGGTTAATGTTTTTGACATCTTCCTTATAGAGAACAGAAGGAAAAGATGAACATAAAACAAGTGGTTAAGGGGAAAAATGAACCTCAGTTTAGACTGATCAAATCCTAGCTTGATAATACTACATAATAGTAGTAATCCCAAATCAAATTTGCATATGTGGTTTCTTCCCTTTTTTTTCCACTTTAATTTTAGCACAGGGAAATTTGGAGCATGTTTTATTCCTGGGTTGTGCAAGCAAAGTGACCTCACGTTATATGCTTCAAGGCCTGGGCTACGATTGTGGAAGTCTGATGTCCATGGAACGGTGCAGGCAACATTCATCTTAAAAGATGTATTTGCTGGAGGAGTGAAACCTTTTGAACTGTATCCTCGACTTGAACCAGCTGAGAAGGGAAGTTGCCCATTATCGGAGAAACACCTAGGGCTTGTGTCATGCTTCTTTCAAGATGGCTGGGTATTGAGCTGGAATGAGTATAGTGTTTATTTATTAGACACTATAAATCAGGTAGGTAGAGGCACTGTGTGTAGGTGTTTAAGTAGAGAGATTGTTAGTATGTAGAATTTTATTTTGTCTCATTTCTCCTTTAATGATTTTATATATCATTTATACAGTGTTTGCTATCTTGCTATACCTTCTCTTTTCTTTTTCTTAGTATGGAAAATTGTGGAATGTTTTGCTAATTTTTCTATTTATAATTTTTGTTTCATGGTTTTAAAACTGAAAACTAATTTTGTTGATATCTTAAATTTTTTTATCACCTCCATTTTCCACTTTCCACTTCCACCTTCCACTCTCCCCTATCTAGAGAGGCATCTCTTATAATAAAGACAGAAAAAAAAAGAAAGAAAAGTAGCTCAGTAGAATTAATAACATATCATTTCAATAGCATATGCAGTGTTCCATACCCATCCTCCCCCACTTGTGCAACAGAGGAAGAAAGAGACATTCTCATATCCCCTTTTGGGTTTTTTTTTTCCTTTTTTGGCTAGGCAGTGGGGTTAAGTGACTTGCCCAGGGTCACATAGATAGTAAGTGTTATGTGTCTGAGGCCAGATTTGAACTCAGGTCCTCCTGACTCTAGGGCCAGTGCTCTATCCACTGTGCCACCTAGCTGCCCTTCATATCACCTTTTGGGGGACAAGCTTGATTATTGTAATTTCATAGTATTTCCTTTATATTTTATTGTTCTTTCTTTTTACATTATTTTCCTGGTACTGCTTACTTCACTATGCATCAGTTCACATGAGTCTTCCCTTGTTTCTCTGGCTTCTTAATATTCATCTTTTATTACAATGAAGTAATAGTTGATCATATTAATGCAGCACAATTTCTTTAGCTATTTCTCAATCATTCGGCATCTGTTTTGTTTCCAAGTTCTTTGCTGACACAGTGTGCTATTATAAACATTTTGGTGGAGATTTCTACCTTTCTTTCTGTCTTTGACCTTTTTTGGAGGTCAAAAAATGCAATTGTACTGATTCATAGCTCCAACAACAGCACTTACTATTGAACATTTTGCTGTATTAATTGAATTGAAATTATTTTTTCTCTACTGCAACATCTCTCTAGTTTGTGATTTCATCTCTGTAACAACCCTTCATTTTCCTTCTTTTTTGGGGTGGGGAGGGAAGGGGAAGCAGAACCTGGATGTTGGTACTGCAACTGCTTTCCTCATAACTAGCCTCTTAAGGCTCTTTACCCTTCACCCACCCCCTCCCATTCTGCCTAGGAAAGAAAAATAAAAATGCTTTATGTGTATTTTATTTCAATAGATGCACAGTAAATTCTTTCTTGGCTGAGATCATCAATTGTTCTATCTTCTTTTGGCATATGCCAGCAGTGGGATCTAACTGGTCAGGGTATTGAGGTTTTAGCCACTTTTCCTGGCATGATTCCCAAGTTCTTTCCATATAACATCAGGATTGGAGAGAATCTTAGCAGTCATCTGGCCTGCCCCAGTCACTTATGGATGAGCACAGAACATCATTGAGGTGGAGTGTGGTGCCCAAAGGCATACAGCTACTTAGAAGTCATTCAGCAAATAATTTGTCATAGTAAAGTAGTATTATGTGCTTGCTTATGTGAAATTCTGACAGATGCTATTTGCTTTAAAGTGTGGTCTTATTTTGTATTTTTTGACAGGCTACAATTGCTGGTTTGGAAGGTTCAGGTGATATTGTATCTGTATCCTGTACTGAAAATGAAATATTCCTATTAAAGGGAGATAGGAACATTATAAGAATTTCGAGCAGACCTGAAGGAGTTGGATCAATAGGTTTGTATTTTTTGGAAAATGCAGTGGTGTTTATTCTGATAAATCATGAATTATTTTGGGGATTATAAGATGTAAACATTCTTATTTTGCATGTTTAAAATCTTTTAGCTGCTATCAGCTTGAAGGGATTTTTAAAAAAAGTCTCAGTTCTGTTCAATATACTCTTTTATTGCTTTCAAGGATACTCTATATTTGTGCTTAAACAAAATCTTGGACTTAGAAATTATCTTTGGACCTAGAATGTAGGAAGGAATCCTAGACTTGAAATCAGAGTACTCAGGTTCTCTCTAATTCTAAGTCTGTCAGTGACTGACTTACTTTGTATTGTTGGGTTAATCACAGAATCTCAGAGTTGGAAGGGATCTCAGAGATGATTTATTCCAACTCATAACCAAAAAGGAATCTCTATTGTAACATAATGGACAGGTGGTAAACAAGCCTTTGCTTGAAGACCACCCTCCCCAGCACCTCAGTGAGAAAGAACCTCACAGTTTCCACGCAACATTCCGACTCCCTTCTCTTGACTCTTGTGTACATCTTGACCTCTGTCACTTGATAGTTAGGTAAATGAGGGCACAGCACTTATCCTTTCAGTGCTCCCCAGGCCACTAAAAAAATGGTTTGTTAAAGGTGAGTTACTGTTCTAGATCAGTGGAGTTTCAATACCAGAGTCACTGATCTGGATTGAGAAATGAAATGAATGTTTCCTACCAATAAAATGAAAATTTCTTGATGACAGGGACTATTTTTCATTTTGTCTTTACATCTCCCGAATCCAGTATAGTGCCCAGCATATATTAGGCACTTAATAAATGATTATTGACTAAATGATAAATCCAGTACCTCCAGAGGCAACCCATTCCTCTTGAGATAGATCTCTTGGATAGTTTTAATTGTTAGGAAGGTTTTTTTTCCTTTCTTTTATCAAGCATAAATTTGCCTATTTGCAACTTAGCCCTAACCTCTAGGGCCAAACAGCAAGTCTTATCCTTTCTGCATGTGATAGGCTTTCAAATATTTTAAGAGTTATAATATCTCATCCACATTTTCTCTTCTCTGGGCTAAATGTTCTCATTTCCTTCATTGATTCTTCATATGGCGTGGACCCAAGGCTTTTCATCATTTTGGTTGCCGTATTCTGGACATTTTCCAGCTTATAAGTATCCTTTCTAACTTATGTCACCCTGAACTGATAGGAGTGCTCCACATGTGTTTTAACTAGGGTAGAATATGACAGGACTATCACCTCCTTATTCCTGGGCAAACTGTACCTCTTTTAATGCAGTAGAAGATCTCATTAGCTTTTTTGGATACCGTTTACATGTTGATACATAATGAGTTTTTAATCTTTGCTGATCTCTTTCAAATGTGCTACAATCTAGCTGTGCCTCTCCTGTATCATACTCTTGAAATCAGTTTTTGAACCCAAACATAAGATTTTACATTAAATCTATATTAAATTTTGTCTGATTCTAAGGCCCTTTCTCCTCCAATTCTGAAACTCTTTGATGCAGTGAATGTGTTGTTGTATCTTTTATTTGACCACAGAAATCCTCTTTGAGAAGGTAATCAGCACTATAAAGTCCAATGTCCTCCTTCCTCATTGTATTTGGGTACTTTTTTGACCTGTAGAGGCTTTTCCCTGTGCATACCCTTCTCATATCCTTCCCCATTATCTACAGTCCCTCTCAGTAAGCTTATTCTTCTGTCTTTCCTAGGGTCATAGGATTATAGGGTTAGAGCTGGAAAGGACCTTAAGAAATCATCTAGTTCAACACCCTCATTTTACAGATGAAGAAACTGAGGCCCAGAGAAGTCAAGTGACTTATCCAAGGTCTCTTGGGTCATAAGTAGAGAGTTGGAATGTCAGTCCTGGTCCACTGACTCCAATTCCAGTGCTCTGAAAAGTATATCTCGTTGTTCCCCATTTGTTCAGATATTTTTTCCAGATACTTAGAAGCCCAAATTCCAGCACTTTTTTTTTTAATAAAGCAGAGAATCATATTTTTATTGGTGGGTTTTACTTTCACACATTTATAATCAATAAATTGGTGACCACAGTAGTTGATTCATTTCTTTGATGGGCATCTAGATCATTGATACCTTGGATAGTATCCTTAAATTTTATTGGTCATTCTTTTATTTTAAAATGAAGGGAGTGTTGATTACATGATCTCTGAAGTCCCTTCTAGCTCTAACATTCTATGATTCACCCCTTTCTCTTGTTCTTCCTCATCCGCCTCTGACTTTAGGGTTGCTGGTATTATTATTAGTATTCTCAGCATAAACTAATACCCTCAAGGTGGTATTATTGGGCTAAAAGCTTGGAACAGAAAATCACGGACAGAAATGTCTATGATTCATTGCACCCACATACAAGTATAAATAACTTTTAAAAATCTTCATTTTGGTGAAAAGTTAAGCACAGATAATAATACCACCATTACCTTTGACTATAAAGGATAAACTTGAGCTGAGTGATTTTCATTTGCTTCCTTTAATGGATATATTAGTATAATTCAGTTAAATCTTCACATTTTATTCTAATGTTAAAATATAGAAGGCATCTATAGCTAATAGGAAAATTCTAAATTATGTTACTTGTGTATTTCTAGATATTTACCACTGAGATATATTGGGGAAATTTAAAGTTAAAAGAGAATTAAGTTTGATTAAGTCAACAACATATATTAAGGTCTCATATTGTGGAACGTATCACATTAAGTGCAGTCTAAGAAGAGAGGAAATATGGTATTGTGGAAAGAGCTCCGGATTAGGAGTCAATAGACACAGGTGTAACCTTCTGCTCTCTAGTCCTCTGTTTCCTCTTCTATAAAATGAAGAGACTGATCTATATTATCTTTCAGACCCCTTCCAGCTCTAACATTTTGTGATTCAGTAATTCTGTAGCCAAGGGATCTGTGCTCTTACCTGTGGTAAATGACCTGCGGGGATAAGCCAGTTTGAGATGGTGGTAGCCACCTGCTTGTTCTAGCTTTAGCTCGGTTTTGGGGAGTGCTTTGACGATCAGGGTGCCTCATGTTAGGAGAAACTTAAAAACAATCTGACCCAATGCAAGAAGCATTAGAGGGATCCGACTCAGTATAACTGAAAACTTTTTCACTCTTCATTTGCTAGGGCTCTGGGACTTAAAATATCTTTGCCTTTATCCTAGGGCTTAATATATAATATGTAGGTAATAAATATTTGCAGAATTAAACAGAAGCTGGATTTTTATGTGTGTGTGCCTTTGCACTGTTAGATGTTGGAGGAAATCCAAAAATAAATAAAACAGAGTTCCTACTCTCATGGAGCTTAAAATTAAGTAGAGAGGATATAACATTAGTGACGTTATAATGCGTATATATGTGCATATGTAATGCATGTATATACATGTATAATACATAACGTCCAAAGATATTAATGCATGATAACTGATGAGCAAATATTAAGTGCCTACTATGGGTTAAACACTGTACTAGGTGCTGGATATACAAAGACTGAAATTAAATAACCCCTACCCTCAATGATCTTACATTCTATTGGGAGAGAAAGTAGATACATATTTAAGTATATTGAGAATATATACAAAGTAAATACATGATAGTTTTGGGAGACACTAGGTGAGGAGGATTGGGAGAGACTTCTTTACAAAGTGGAATTTAGACTGAGTCTAGTTCATTTCAGGCCTTGGCATTAGCACTGAGACAGGAGGAACAAAGTCATGCATAAAGAACAACTGGGCTTACGTGGCTAGCAATGTGGTGTGTGCAATGGAGTAATGTCTAAGAAGATTGGCAAGGCGGGAAGGGGCCAAGTTGCACAGAGCATTAAATGCCAAACGGAGGAGTTTATTTAATCCCAGAAGTAATAGGGAGCCACTGGAGTTTATTTAATAGGGAAATGACATGGTCAGACCTACATTTTAGGAAAATCACTTTGTTGGCTCTGTGAAGTAAGACTTAAAGTGACGAAGAGGCTTCAGACAGAGAGATCAAAGAGGCTAGTGCAATAGTTGGGGCAAGAGGTGATGAGGATCTGAACTAGGCTGATCACTGTGTCAGTACAGAGGAGGACACATAGGTAAGAAGTGCTGTGGAGCTAGAAAAGAGAAGATTTGACAACTGATTAGATATATCTAGTGAATGAGAGTGAGGAGTCAAGAATGACACTGATGTTGTGGGTCTGAGTTACTAGAAGAATCATAGTACCGTTGACAGTAAAAGGGAGGTTTGGCAGGATTGGGTTTGTGGGGGATGATAATGAGTTCTATTTCGAGCATATTGAGTTTGAGATATCTGTAGAACATCCATCACCATATATGGTGATGCCTGATTGGAATTCAAGTGAGGGACTAGAGTTGGAGGTCAGGATGTGTTTGAGTAGTAGCAGGAATTACCTGCATAAATAATGGTATTTAAACCCATGGGACCTGTAAAGGTCACCAAGTGAGAAAAAATATAGAAAAAAGAGAAGATGGCCTAGGATACAATCTTGATGTACACCCACAGTTAGTGAGCATGACAAGCATGATGAACCAATGAAGGAAACTAAAGATTACTCAAACAGGTAGGGGAACCATGAGAGAATCCAGGACATACGTATGTACCAAGAGAGAGGTGCAAACAAAGTTCTGGGGAAGGTCTGAGAAAGAAAAGATTATTTGAACTTGAAGGGATTAGAGGAAGCTTTGTAGAAGGGGCCCTTTCTGAAATAAGTCTCCTTAATGTTCAGTTGCCAGAATGTTGTAGATGTAATTTCTGTTAATGTATGATTTGGATTGATGGATCTCTGAGGTTCCTTTTAACTGAGATTCTGTAATTTTGTAAGGAATTGTTATTTGAAATGGATCTTGAAGGGTAGGATTTCCTGTAATATTTTGTACATAGTAGCTTCTCACTATATGTTTTTAAATCAAGCTGAATTTGTAATCTTTGTTAGGTTGATAAATTGCTTTGTTTTGATGTTTTTCCTTCTGAAAATTACTCTTGCTATAAATGGCTACAAAAAATTATGTTTTATAGTTTACATAGCAATTTTCATTTTACAAAGCAGTTTCTTCAAATTAATCCTGTAATTATGTAGTGTAAGAATGATTATCCTTATTTTTGAAGAGAGAAAACTATGGTTCACATCGATTAGCACACTTGCCCACTCTTTGTACAGCTAGCAAGTTGTCAAACTGGGATTTCAACCCAGGTTTTCTTGCTTTGTATCTTGTGCTCTTTCCTCTCTATTACATGTGGCCTTCTTAATTAGAAGATTTTCTATAGGTAATAAGAAAAACTCACATTTCTATGGCACTTTATGAAATGAGACTCTCACAACCTCCCCATGAGGGAAATCAACACCAGTAGTACTATCCCCATTTCACAGTTTAGTGTCTGAGTCACAGAGCTACTAGGTAACTGTCCCAGTATCACAAAGCTAGTAAATGTGGCAGATGGAACTCAAACTCGGGTCTTCTCTAAGATCAGTCTCCTTTTTCCACCAGACCTATACCTATATGAATAGGTACAGTTTAATTATACCAGGATCCAATAAATAGGTTTAATTGGTTTTAGATTTTTTCTCAATTCACAAACATATTTACATAACAATAAATTTAAATGAGAAACTAGGATCTACAGTTAATGCTATCCTATCATTATTATTAATCGATTTATAACAGCAATGAATTCTTTTACTGCTTTCAATAGATCAGTTTCCAGTGAATCAAAAGCTTTTCTTATAGCCTTTGTGTAGGTATTCTGCCTTTTTGAGCCTTTCATTAGTCTAATTCTTTTGATATTGCTAATTTCATGACTCTAGGTTCAGAACTTCAAATGCTTTGCTAGGCTCCTGTCCCAAATTGTCTCTCTGCTGCCTGGATTTTTGAGAACAACAAATAAAATAGGTGATTTTTCTCCCAATAACAAAAATTGACTCTTCCTTTGTAGGTAGAGATGGCACAGAAATCTTGGGATATCCTGAGAAAATCCACCTGCAAAGTTTGGATAAGCTAGGGACCTTTAGTAGTGAAACCAGAAACAGAGGCTCATCTGTCACCAGTGAATCAAGAAGTCGGAGTAGTTCTGTGAACTCTATAGATAGCAGTTCTAGCTTCCTGACAGCAGGAGACCAAGGTTCCTCTGAAGTATTGAAAGAAAGCCAGGCTTCTCACAGGTTCAGTGTAATTAGCTGTGAAGACTTTGACCAAGAACTTATTGTGCAGCCCATTAAAGTGAAAAAGAAAAAGAAAAAGCAAGGTATTGTAGCATCTTTTATGCATTCTACTTGAAATCTTCTGATATATACCAGATTTTAAATGCTTAAATGCCTCATTCTCCTTTAGAAATGTATCATTTTCGTACATGTGGAAGATAATACTTTTTGTTGAATATTTTTATTGAATCATAACAGTTAATGTATCTGCCTATTTTAGCTTTTTTTATCCATTCATTCAACAAATACTTATTAAATACCAGTTATAAGCAATGTCCTGTGCTTACCACTGGGGAAGAAGAATGCCTGGCCTCCTTCTTACTGAATTCCTATTTGTCCTTTAGAGCTGATTTCAAATACAGCTTCTCCCATGAACTTTTCCTAATATTCCTGGTCATTTAACCAGTTCCTTATTTATTTATTTGTTTATTAATTTATTCTTATTCATATCTCTCTATGTACTTGTTATATATTATTGTGTCATAGATATTTGTATTTGTGTCTTACTCTCCTAATAGTTGGTGCCCTTTGTGAAGGCAGGGACCATGTCTTAGCCTAACTTTATGCTTTCCTCAGTCTTCATGATGGTGCTATATACAGAGTACACATTTAATATTTTTAGTTGATCTCTGTTTTTTTTTTCAGCCAAAGACAAGGTTTATTAAAGATCCACCATATTGGCCATACTCGCCATACTCTTAAGGAATCTGAATATTTGGCTAGATTATAAGAATCTGAGCACATTTATGGAGACAAGAAGGACCTTATATACAGAAAGACTGTGGGAGGGATGTTGGAATGGCCAAGTAGTTTGGAGTGACTGGAGGAGGGGCTCTAAGGAGATCTGAATGGGAGTGGCCAGTAAACTGGGGTGAACAGAATGCCGGGACCTGAACCATGAGGCCAAGGGAGAATGGAGATTAACAGTGGAAAGTGACTGGGGCCATAGGGAGGTAAGACAGTGGAGGGCTAGGCTAGGCTAAAGGCAACAGAATTGGGAGACTGGGTGTAGGCAATAACAAAAGGCCAGTTGATGGGATTATAGCCTCAGGAGAACACCTGAGATTTGGCCCTGTGGGAAAGTCCAGGGTTTTTTTCTTTTTTCTTTTTGGGGTTCAGATCCCATCCTCATCATTCCCCCCCCAACAAATGGGACCCAAATTCTTTTGGGGTAAGGGGCGAAGATCCTGCTTCCTGCTGGCAAGGGGCATAGAGCTATTCCTGCCTTGAGGAGGTCCCAGAGAAGAGGTTGCATACAGGGAACAGTGGGGGGACATTGGCTGGTACTTGCTATTTGCTACCAACTGTAGGTGAATGGTCTGTAGTCTAGACAGAAGACACAAATCTGACAGAAAAGACTGCAGGTCCCAGATATGGCAGGATAAAACATCCTTAGCTCTGTTTGGATTCAGATAATTCAGTTTTCCAACCATGCAATATCAACTCCACCTCATAGCCAGACTTAGGAATAGCCAGGTGAGTAACATTTCTTTTCAAAGGAACATAATGGGGAAACTGAGCCAGGAGGATCCCATCTTAGACTGAGGCTAAAATTGTCCTCTCAGCTTTTCCTGATGCTGACTTCCCACCACTATCACATTCTCTGAGTTGCTGGTGGCATTTCTCTCAGATGGTGGATTATTGATTATCGATGGATTATGATCCATCAGATAATTCAAAATAAACTGCTGTGAGCTTTTACCTCAAACAGCAAGTTTCACTAGTCACAGCTTAGGAAAAACTTTTCCAGGATTTACATCTCAAATTTGAATTTGTCCTGGTGTAAGAAGCCAATCATTAGAGATTATTTCTGTATACTTGCAAAATCTCAGCAAGACAAAACCCAGACAAGCCTTTTGGCAAGTTTACATGCTAAAACAGTAACCAACAATAGCCAAATTATTTTAGTGGCAACCAAATTATGAAAAGTTGCGTGACATAACTGATACAAAAAGTTCACCAATTTGAAACTTGAAACAAACCCATTACCAATCAAGTGATTTCAGTTTTGTTAAATGCATTTCCAAATTACTTTACACAGAGAATCAACATCTCATCATTAACAGTTAAAAGAGCTTACCCAAGTTCAAAGGCTAGCTTCTTTAACTTGATCAGGATATGCTGAACCTGGGTGATTCTTCCAGGCAAGGGTTGCCCCAGGGCCCAAGGCCATTGCCAGTGGGGCCCATGCTGTAGAGGGCAAATTCAGAGTGGGGGAGAGGGTAAAACTCTCTTCTCCAGAGAGGGATTAACAGATACCCTCTTGATGTAAGGGAAGGAAGTGGGAGAAGGGAGTGACCAGGATTGTAAGGTGTTTCAAAACTCCTTAATTATCTATGACAAAACCTCCAGAATCTGCTAAGATGTTTTTAGCTGTTCTAACTTTTCCCTATAGCCTCCATGAAGAAGGATCCAGGGGTGTAGATGGAAGGGAGTAAGTAAGCCACAGGGAACCAAAAAGCATCTGCAGTTTTCCCAATTCCCTAGTGCTGAGAGAATTGACAGAATTGGGCATATGCTTCTGGATAAAGTGTCTGTCCTTGTCCTCTATGTTGTGGAAGGTGTACCCATGTCCGTGGCCTTGAACTGAACCAGTGGACCGAGAGCCTGAGAGCATCAGGCCAAGTGCGAGACAACCTCATAACTGTCTGCCTGAAAAGCACATCTGAGCCTTCCTAGGTGCTTGGCGAATGACCCTAACTGCAGGGCAAGAAAGAAGGCAGGGAGGCTTACATACTTTCCAATCTTGGCTGGAGAAGAATTTGGGGTTAGGCAGTTTTTCCTATATGGGCCACCAAAATGTTGAGTTGCAGGGGCTTACTGGTATGGGGACGCTGAATCACAACATGTGAGTCCTGTCCGTATGAATTCGACCAAACCTTCTTTCAGCCAAAGATTCGTTTTATTAAAGATCCACCACATTGGCCAGACTTTTAAGGAATTTGAACATTTGGCTAGGTTATAAGAATCTGAATATTTGGCTAGATTATAAGAATCTGAGCCGCTCTCTGTTATTTTTTGAGTGAATTTTAAACTACTTCAGCTGGTATTTAGGGCCCTCCAAAATCTGGCACTTTTTCAACTTGCTTTTGAACTTCATCTTATATTTCTTCCATGGAGTAAGAAAGAATAAACAAAGTCAGAGAAGTGGGCAAGTACAGAGAGTTTCTAAGTAATGGAATTTGGTTGGAGTATAAACTACACAGAGAGAAGTAATGTGAGATGAAGCAGGATGATACTGGATTATATAGGGCATGCCAAGTGAAAGGGGTTTAACCTTTACTTGCTAGCCAATAAGGAGCCACTAAAGATTTTTGAATATAGAAACATGACACTTCTGTGCATAAGGATCTGAAAATGTCTTAAAGAAAAGTAAGAGACCCATACTCTTTTCTCAAAGCTTTTGATATTCTAACTTTTTAAAAGCTTAACTATGAAATGACATGTTTTGCAAATGTTAGGTGTGGAAACTTCAGGAAACTGACAAGACTTTTTGCCTTGCATGTTATGCAATACCTGGAGCATGATGTATAAGAGAAATTTACCAAGAGTGAGCTGGGACACTCACAAGCTTACTAAGTTGGGCACTTTATTTCTTTCCAATCCATTTAAAGGAAATGGTCTACATACCACAAGATGTTGCTGTCATCTCTGGTCTAGACATGGTACTAGTGTGTCATTCTTTCCCAGTAACTTGCCAAAATTGCATCTTGCATTTGAAACCTTCCTTGTGTGTTGTTTCCTCCATTAGAATGTGAGCTCCTTGAGAGCACAGGCTGTCCTGCTTTTCTATTTGTATCTCTAGTTCTTAGCCCAGCAGGCAGTGAGCTGATGATGTTGATAGAGCACTGGACCTAGAGTCAGTGAGACCTGAGTTTAAATGTGGCCCCAGAAACTTAATAGCTTTGTGATTCTGGCAAGTCACTTAACCTCTGTGTGTAAAGTGGGGATAATAATAGCACCTACCTCCCAGGGTTGTTGTGAAGACAAAATGAGATTTTGTGTGTGTGTGTGTATAAAGTGCTTCACAAACCTCCCTTTTCCTCGGCCAGAAAGCATTCAGGGGATGATGAATGAGCACCTTGTTACAAAGGCATACACTCATAACAAAGAATAAACTTAGATAAGTGTTATTGTCCAGAACAGAATAATTTAAGCCAAAAGTTCAGAAACACATGTAACATTCTTCTGTCCTGAACTAAGATAATGTATGTTGCCAAGATTCTTTCCCTTAACAAATGATTAACTTTAAATTTTAGAATAATATTTTCCCTTTTCATTGAAGCAAACTTACTGAAAATAATTTTCGTGTTTTTAATTAGAAGGCGGGACCAAGAAAACACCGAGTTCCCTTGAAGGAACTCCATGTTATGAGCATCCGTTTTCTGATGAAAGTCCTCACTCAACAACCACAGACCAGTGTTCCATGACCTCAAGTTTTCTGGACAGCAGTCTAGATCAGACAAATACAGATTCTCCTGATCAGCAGAGCATTTTACAGGAAAATAATGACTCTGAAACCTTTAGTGTTCTTGAAGTGTCAGAATCTACCCCAGACTTATTGGATTTAGAAAATGAGAGTAAAAATGAAGTGCTAAATTACAACCATGAAAGTGGAACGGACACAGATAATTTAGTATGTGATCTACCTGTACTCCTGACTGAAGAAGTAGAAGTTGATGATATACCAGAACTCAAACCCAGACATTTTCTTGTGAATAATGAGCAAAATAGTCAAGAGTCTTCCAACCAAGACCAAGATGACTTTACTGAATTACAAAAAGCAGATGAAACAGTACATGAACTGAAAATTCAAGATGCTGAAAGCACTTTTTCTGAAAAAAACTGCTCAGGTACACAAACAGTGCCTTCAAGTCCTAATACCCTACCAAGTGCTGAAAAGTTGCTGCCTGAGAAAAGAAGTGATGAAAACTGGGTAGAGATGCCAGGGATGCAGGAAGATTTTTCAGTGAATGTGACTCTAGAAAACCTCAGCTTGAATTCCTACCATAGTCTCTTAAAAGATAATATTGTTGATCAGCAGAAAAAAATTGTGCTTTCTAAATTTGATTTTAGAGCAGAATCATGTCCTCAAGTGTCTTCTTCAGCACCCATTATCCATGAAACTAAGATTGAACAGTCCCTGCAAGAGCAAGTGTTAACATCCAGTGATGAAGAGGACATTTATGCTCGTGGTCTGCCTTATTCATCATCTGAAGCTAGCGTAGCTGAACTTGGTGGTAGTCTTTCTTTCCAGGATGTGGCCAAAGCAAATCTTGAGGAAACAGTATTGTTAAAATCAGATCAGGTAGGTAAAATCAGATCACTTATGAAAGATTTTTAGAGCTTGTAGAATGATGAATTATGTTGTTGTTGTTTTTTTTACTAGTTATCTATCTTAAAATACTTACAAATTATTTTGTGGTTAGGGCCACCCTCCTCTGAGGTCTTCTTCCAAAGACTCATTATAGTATGGAAGGAACCCTAGCTTCTTGCAGGCTATTCCAGTGATACACAGAGCTGAAAAGACTGTGTATACTGTCCTGCCAGTATACAAACAGAAAACCCAGCCGGGTAACAGAAAGCTCATAAGGCACAATGGAAAGAGCACCAGCTCTTTAGTCAGAGGATCTGAGCTCAAATCTAACCTCTGATGTTTACTACTTGTGTGACTTTGAGCAATTCACATAAACTCTCTGGGTCTTAGTTTCCTCATCTGTAAAATAAAGGGGTTAGACTAGATTCCCTCTAAGATCCCTTACAGCTCTAGATCTGTGATCTGGTACTCAGAAAGTTGGACAACAGGTGATGATTATTTTGTCCATAGCAACTTATGAATTTTCTTCCTTATTTAAAACAGTCTTGTTATAGAAGTGACAGACCATATGTAAATATAAAACATTCTCAGTTACCTGTGTCAGTTTATCCAAAGCAAACCCTGCTTGCAAATATTTAGTGATATTGTCATTGCTTAATACATCCTTTCTAGACAAAATCTGGGTGTTTGTTTATTCTGGTCAACAGGACCTCGAAGAGTAGGCAAAAATAGTAACTTAATTTTCCTCTTGTCTTAGGGAAGGAGTGAATTACTCTGTTTTCTGTAGGCTGTTTGGATGTGATTTTGCATCAGTTTGAGGAATAGTGCTGTCTATTTCCAGATTGGAATTGGGAAAAGGGCTGCTGGTTGGGGAGTTATGTGGAGGGTGTCTGGATGGGAAGTCAGGATAGCTTTCTAGTTTTTATGGGTCACACCTTTATCATGTGGTTTCAGTATTTAGTTTGAAATGAGAACTTCAGCCTCATTCACCTTCTTCTATAAACAGTAAATTATATTGTAAAGCTAAATACGAAAGCTTTTTAGATTATTAGTACTACTTTCCCCATTTATTTATTATCTGTGCTTTTGAACAGTAATAATGAGAAGCACTGATACAGTGGAAAAACCATTGTACTTTTTTGACAAAGTCCCAAAACTTTTATTCCATTCCCTTGTATGGTAGAAATAGTATTGGGCTTAGAATCAAAAGGCCTGGGCTTAAATCTTTGATTGGCAGCTTACTAGCTGTGTTGCTTAGGGAATGTAATGTCATCTCCCTAAGCTTCAGTTTCCTCATTTTATGATGAGAACAGTAATTCCCATAGTACTTACTTTGCACGATCGTGGAAGTCGAATGATATGGTGGATATGAACAGCTTTATAGCTTATAAGGCCCTATAGAAACATTGGCTGTTTTTACTATTATTATGTAGTTGTTCTTTGTGTAGAAAAATAAGGAAAACAACTATGTGCTTTCCTTACTATATAAATATCCAGTTGGCTTCAAAAATAATGTTGCTGTCATGGTATTACTAGAGTATTGTCTATAAATTTCAATGGGAAATTATGATGTGTTAGAAATCTAGCTGTATTTTCTTTCTCAAGTGTACAACAGTTATTGCAAAGCCGTCTCATTTGAAACTTATAAGCCTCAAACATCTGAACGTAAGAATCTCAAAAGAATAATTATTTCATTTGTGAATTTATTTCCTTTAACAAAAATCACAAACTCTCCATGCTTTGGTACATGGTTTCAGGAGTTTTTCTGGCCAGAATGTGTTATCTGGTCACCAACCTAATGTTACATGTTTTCCAAACTTAGCTGCTAGGTCATTCTTCAGAAGATTGGCACTCTGTCTATCCCTAGACCATCTGGCAAATCTTTCTAACTGGGTAGGGACCTGGTAAAACTCCTGTGTCGGTAGCTTTGCCTCTGAGACCCAAGGTCCTTTCTGTGCTAGAATGGGGCGTTGGTGGAGTAATCACTAAAGTATAACTTACCTGTCCTGAGGTAAAATACCTAAAAAGTATTTCTTTACACCCGTCTCAGAGAAGTTATTATTCATATTGTGAAAGTAAGAACAGATGGGAAAGTTTCCTTTGTTTTTTACAGAGGTACAAAATTGTATGTATTTATCTAGTTCAGATTGAAAAAGCTCCATGAAAATTCTGATCAGCCTCCAAAATTTCAGTTATCCTTTGCATATTTAGAATGTCTTTGAGTTGGTTGAATTCAAAATCCTTTTCAACATCCTGACAAGTGGTCATCCTGTCTTTGCTTAAATACTTCCAAAATAATCCGTCAGTAAATGATACGGCAACTCCCAAAAGCTAATGGATTCTTAGAGTCTATAGAGGGTCATTCTGTCAGGGATCAGGGAGGTGATGTTCCTGCTGTGTTTCACCTTTGTCCGACACAATCTGCATTGTTGTGTTCACTTCTGGGCCCCACCGTTGAGGAAGGGGGTAGAGTTGGAAAGAGGCAAATTGAAGCTTGACATCAGGAAACACTTCTTCACATTTGGCTGTGCAAAAGTGGAATTGGCCACCTGTAGAGATAATGTGTTTCTCTTTGTTCACAGTCTTTGAGCAAAGTTGGGAGAATCACTTGCTAGATATGTTGAAGGGGCAATTTTTATTCAGGTAGATGTTGAACTCGATTTTCAATGAGTTTTCTGTCAACTCAGAGTCATTTCAATGTTTTCTGTTATCTGAGGGCAATGCACGCTGTTAAAAAAAATTGCATCAGTAGTTCTTTGGTTTTAGTTCTTAATTTAAGTGTGTTCTTTTTGGAAGTCTCATTTTTTAAAAACATCTGCTAGGGAAGTTTGTTTGATAATATTCCAAATGGCCTCTAATTTCTTTGGGAACATTGTCCAATAAGTTTTGTAGATAGGGTAGGGAGAAATATTTTCAGATACTTGTGTATGCATTACTTTTGTGTCACATTCAGTGTAAAGATGAACCTTTGTGTAAGGGATACCGTATCAAGTAGGGATTGAATTAGATTCTCAGATTCATTCCCCACTTTTCAAGGAACATATCTGTTGTGTAAGGCTAAATAGTTGTATTGTTGTTTTTGTTTTGTTTTGTTTTGTTTTTTGGTGAGGCAGTTGTGGTTAAGTGACTTGCCCAGAGTCACACAGCTAATAAGTATCATGGGTCTGAGGCTAGATTTGAACTCAGGTGCTCCTGACTCCACGGTTGGAGCTCTATCCACTGCGTCACCTAGCTGCCCCTTGGCTTTTTGTTTTTGTTTTTATTTTTCATTTTTTTTTAGTATATTTCTTTTCAGTGTATTATGATTATACTAAACATTAAGGATTCTCTAGTTGTAAGCATTATGAAAAACTAGAGCATATTATAATCATTTTCTGAACTTATGGTGTTTTTGTTAAAGGGGAAAGATAACTGTCGTCTATAATACCTTAGTTGCAGTGTTTCCAAAAAACCAGGGAGATCTGCTTTTATTCTTATGATTTTTATCATTTTAAGCAAATACTGCCTATTAAAAATATTCTTACATGTATAGTGCTACCCTGTCTCCTACATACAAATCCATGTGGCTCTGTTCTAATCACTGTTCCTTAGTTTGCAGAAAGCTGGATGGGATACTCTGGCCCTGGCTATGGAATCCTAAGCCTTGTGGTTTCGGAGAAGTATATCTGGTGCCTGGACTACAAAGGTGGACTGTATTGTAGCGGTCTCCCTAGTGCTGGAATACGGTGGCAAAAATTTGAAGATGCAGTCCAGCAGGTGGCAGTCTCTCCTTCAGGTTAGAATCCCCAACTTGCAGGCGTCCAGCTTTCTTTACCTAATCTAATAAGAACTACCACTATTAACTTTATTAATGTTAACGTGAATATGTGAACATGAAGGAAAGAAGGATAGAAAGAAGAAATGAAAATCATTTATTAAGTACTTACTCCAAGCATCATGCTAAGTTCTGAGATTACAAATACAAAAATAAAACAGATTCTACTCAAGGAGCTTACATCCTTGTAGAGGAAGACAGCATCATTGACGACATTGTGGCCAATGAAGGGTATTTTGGTTTGGGAAATGACAGAGATGATGAGTGGCAGCTAGAAGGGAGTCAACTGACATGGCATTTCCAAAAAGAATGGTAATATTAATTTGATTACTGGCCCCAGAGCAAGAGATAGAAAGGGGAAGTGGAATGTATAACATGGTAGAATAGGTGGCACAGAGATGGTAGGGGTAGGTCATTGGATGTGATGTGAAACATGTCAGGAATACACAAAAGTATCTAGATAATTTTTTTTTGGTTTGCTACAGCTTTTAGATTTATGATGCTACATTTAATAAAATCACCTGCTCTGCAATTTTTCATTTCCCTAATTCTCCCCAGTTTTTGCCTAGAATCCCAGTTTTTTTGCCTGATTCTTTTGCTTTCGATTTCATTTTTTTTAGGACTTTTTTGCTTGCTGTGCCAAACTCCTTGACCCAACTTTTTTAGTATAAGTGATTTTTGTTTTCAAACAACAGACTTTAAATTGTTGATTTGACTGGTAGATTAGGGATAGTCTATTAAATGTGTTATATTCCATATGAAAATAAAATATGTTTTCATTTTTGGATTTGGTTAGTTGCACCATTGAAGGCTTGGTAACAACAAGTTCTTGCATATGTTCAAGCCTCATGAGGTTTTGGATATATTCAGATTGAATCATGGGATTTGGACCTGGATGGCACCTTAGAGATCATTTAGTTTCATCCTATAATTTTATAATTAATGAAATTGAGGGACAGAGAAAGAACAAGTATAAGTAGCAGAGCTATGCTTTAAACTCATACCCTCTGACTTCAAATTTCATTTGCATTACACCATACTGGCTTCTGCTCTGTTTTCTTTATAAATATGCTTACTTTTTAAATAGTTAATGGGTCAGATCCTCTGAGCAATTAAGCTACTTCCTGACCATATATTGAAGTCACATCAATTCTTTCAAGCCCTGTCTTTCATGTATTGAAGTAGAAATTGACTAAATGATACCTAATGGTTTTAAATTACCACTACCACTCCTATTTGCGTGAAATAATTTGCTCATCTAGTTTTTTAATGTTAGCAACTTCTCTTCCTGCTCAAGGGGAGTGAGGCAGGGAGTTACATAAAATAGAATGGATCTGTATGCAGTATTTACTTTAGCTCAGCTTACATATTAGAAAGAAATTGGGTACATAAAACAAATAAATTGAAGCAGGAGAGTATAGAATGTTTATTTTAGGCTGTGTCATAAAGCTCTTGTGACCTTTGTTTCCATGGTATGCCTCAGTTTCCTTGCTTATAAATTTTTGCTTTTAGCATGGACTTATTTATTTAATCATGTATTTTAAAAATACTTTGTTTTTATCAGCCAAGATTTTCCTTCTTACCCTCCCACCACACATCCCTCCCCTTCCCGCAATGAGAACACAAGAAAAATAAAACCCACTACTAACATATATAGTCAATCAGCATCTTTCATTATTCCTCTGGAATCCTGGTTGGTCATTGCACTGATAAGAATTCAGCACAATAATATTCTATCTCATTTGTATACTATAACTTGTTCATCCATTACCCAATTTTATGGGCATGCCCTCAGATTCCCATTCTTTGTCATTTCAAAAAGAACTGTAGATATTTTTGTACATATTTAGAGTTTTGTTTTGTTTAGAACTAATCCCTACCCTAATCTACCTTTCCTTTTGTTCCATTACCCATTTCTCCCCTTTCCCTTCTATTTTCCTGTGAAGTGAAATTGATTTTTATACCCAGCACTATGTGTGTATTATTCCTTCTTTTGAACAGTTCAGATCAGAGTAAGGTTCAAGTGTCAGCTAATTCTTCTCCCCATCTCCTCCTCCTTGACTATGTGCACACCCTGATTATATAAGATAATTTTCCCTAACCTTCCTTTCCCTCCTCCCTTACCCCCTTGCTGCCAAGGGTATTTCTCTTCCCTTTTCTTTCCATTCTTAAGATCATCAAGACATAAAAAATAAAACAAAACAAAAAAATCCACTCCTAGGGCTTGACTAATCGGACTTCTTCAGTAGACTCTTATGATGGTACAGTCCTGAGGGAACATGTATATCTCTCCCTATATTTGAATATAAGCTATTTATCCTTCTTTAGTCCTTTGTCACTGTTTATTCATGTTTACTTTTTTATGTTTGCTCTTCACTCCTGTGTTCGAACTTCAGAGTTTCTGTACAGTTTTTATCTTTTCATCTAGAATCCTTGAAAGTCTTCTATTTTATTAAAGGCCCATTTTTTTTCCTCTGTACTGTTATGCTCAGTTTTTCTGGGTAAGTTATTTTTGGCTGTCAATTCATATCTTTTGTCTTCTGGAATATCATATTCCAACTTCTCTGTTCTTTTATAGGAACGGTTGTCAAGTTGTTTGTGATAGTGACTGTGGCTCCTTCGTACTCAAATTCTTTCTGGCTGCTTTCCATATTTTTTTGTTCTTCTGATGTGAATGGTCTTAATTTTGGCTGTGATGTTCCTTATGGCTTTCATTGTGGTGTTTCTTTTAGGAGTTGAGTGAGGGATTCTTTCTTTTTCCACTTTGCTCTTTGGTTCTAAAAGATCTGGGCAGTTCTATTTTAAGGCCTCTTAAAATAGGCTTTTTATTGGGGGGGGTAATAGGATTCAGATAGTACAATAATTCTTAGATTTTCTTCTATTTTTTAAGACTTTTGACTTTGTTTTAATATTTCTTGTTGCTTCATGGAGCCATTGGCTTTTATTTGGTCCATTCTCATTTTCAGGGAGTTTGTTGCTTGGGCCAAGCTATTAATTCCCCTTCTAGTCCTTTCTTCCATGGTTCTCATTTTCTACTTTTTTCCCTCAGACTCTCTCATTCCATTTATAAAAACATTTTAAAAACTTTTTAAAAAAAACTTCTTTCCTAGGAAAAGCTGTGTTTTTCTCTACATTTGTTCTCAAGCTGTGTCTATCTTGTAAATGTTTTTGCATCATTCTTTTCTGTGTTTGTGCCTTGAGCATCCCTATCACTATAATAGCTCATTATGGCAAGGATGCGTTGTTTGTTTGTTTGTTTATTTGCCTTCCAGACTGCTTCCTGACTTCAGATTTGATGTTAGAGCTGAGCTCTGCTACCCTTACGAAGGGAAGATGTGAGCTGGTCTTGTTGCTACCTCCTTGGGATATTGAGTATTGTGTTTATTTCAGAGCTGAGGGACAGGCTAGGGACCTGCAAGCTATCAGTGCTCCCAAAGTGGTTCGACCTAAGGCAAAGTCTGCTTTCTGCCCCCCTGGTTTGAGCACTGCAAATTCCTGATCTGCGTTTGGGTCTGAGCTAGAGTAGATTGCTGTTGGAATCCATCCCTGCCAACCAGTTGAAAAGCTCCTTAATTCAGAGTGGCAGAATTTTAAGCTCCTCTTTGGTTTGGGATTCCTGCCCTGGTTGAGCTAGATGTTGGAAGCTGAGTCACAGATCTGAGCTGAAACATTGCTCCTGGTTTCTGAACTTCCTTCTTTTTTGGTATACCACCCAGGACCTATTTATACCACCTTGTGCAGGTCTGTGGGACTTCTCTTGGCCCAGTTCACAGCTTCTTCCTGGGCAGTGGAGTGCTGCACCATAGTACTTCAGGCCTAATTCAGTCCCTAGTGGCCATAGACCTTGCTGTCTCTCTCCCTATGCTGAACTGAGATGACCAAGTACTCACTGACTTTTTTGGTTTCCCCATCATGTGATGCATTTTCTAGATCTGTTTGGAGGAGCTTGTAGATGATATCACCACAGTGCTTAGCCATTACTGTGGCATTTTGGCCGTCTCTCTAGTCATACTGAATTATTTATAAAAGAATTTCCTTTGAGGGTAGCTTTGATAATAAATGAAATTAGAGGTGTTGGTGTTTACATAATTTTATATCTTAATAATTTCTCTTTCTGACCATAATATTTGGCTCATCTAATTAAGTATTTGTTAAATCTCTTTTTCTCTTGATTTCGCTGATTAATTTTGGTTGATTGATTTTATTTCTAAATTATTTATTTTTTCTTCCTTTTGATTCATACTTCATACCACAGCAATATTTATTTTCCTAAGATACACCTATGATCATGTCATTCTCCTTCTCAGAAACTGTCAAATGGCTTTCTGTTGCCTGTCTGATTCCTCAGTTTGCCAGTCAAGGCTTTTCACAGTTTGCTCGACCACTTTCCTCACCTGAGGTCTCTAACGTTCGCTTTTCCAAAACTTGTACTCTAACTGAACTGTACTGCACACTAGTTAAACTAAACGGTTTTCCCCAAACCTTCTGTTGCTTTTGTGCCTTTATTTTTGTTTTGGTGTCTTATTTCCATTCACATTGTTACCATGTAATGTAAAGCTTCCCTCTCCCTGTCTCCACCTATGAAAATCCGAAATATTTTTCAAGGCTCAGAGTTAAATGCAGCCTCTTCTCTCAAGTTTTCCTTGTTTGCCCCACCCAAAAGTGATTTCACAGCCCTTTAACTCCTGTAGCAGATTTCTGGCAAAGATGGCTGCTTGAATGGAGGCATCCAGCTCCCGTACATGTATTCCACAAAACCCTAAAAATTACACCAGATTGAATGATTATCAAGAAATTTAATTCAAAACTAGAGTTAAGTGGCTTCATTTGCCTCAGAGCTGCATAAAAAGTTGTCCAGAAGTTCGCAAACAATAGGAAAGAGGACAGACCCATCAGGAAAAGTAAGCCACAGTACATGGAAACAATATGGAAGACTTTGCATCATGACTAGAGATGGGCTAGAAGCAGAGGTATTGAAACCAGCTCTACGATTGCTAAATTTTCAGTGTGAGCATTTGTACTTAAGAAATTGGTGATTGCTCCAAACTAGGGTTTGATTCATTATTTTGTTGATCACTATAAGTATTAATATTGCAGCTTAATCTTAAAAGTTTGTGAGTGTGCATCTCTTCCCCATCCCCCCTTCCCCGCCAAGAGAGCCTGGTTGTTAAACATTTACTGTCACACCCCTATATTGTTTTATAAATGTCATTTGAGCTCAGCAGGAGTGCAGGAGAAAGCTCAGGGAATAGTTGTATTAATGTAGTAATAATAGTTATAACTGGCATTTATGTAATGCTTTAAGGTTTGCAAAGTGATTTCCATCCTTTATATCATTTGAGCTTTACAACAACAGAGGGCACCTATAGCCTGCAAGGCTCTATATCTGGAGGCGGCCAGAATGGAGCTTTCTTATGTGAAAATTCCAGAGTAGCTGGAAATCTGTAGCATGGACCTTGGAAGTGACAGGGAGTGACAGCAATCAGACTAGACAGGAGAACTCATTCAGGGACATCCCAGGTTCAAGGGTTCTGAGGTTATAGCACTCTGTCTTAAGATGCCATAGCGGATTTTGAAGATCCAGAACTCTGAACCCCCAAGATCCAGGGGACTTTAAAATCTACCAATGGTCTTAGGGTATCTATACTCTGAAAGGTGGGAGGTTGAGGTAGAGATCAGTCAAAGAACCCAGGTGAACACTAAGCAAGACCTGCCACTCCACCCAGTCCAAATCAATAACAGAAGCTAGAAAGGTAAGTAAGCAGAAGATAGCAGTCACTATCAAGCAGCTAGGTGGCACAGTGGATAGAGCACCAGGCCTAGGATCAGGAAGACCTGAGTTCACATCTGACCTCACATAACTTACTAGCTGTGTGACCTTGGGCAAGTTACTTAACCCTGTTTGCCTCAGTTTCCTCATCTGTAAAATGATCTGGAGAAGGAAATGGCAAACCACTCCAGTATCTTTGCCAAGAAAACCCCAAATGTGGTCATGAAGAGTCAGACACAGCTGAAACAACTGAACAACATAAAGCAATCACTATAAATAATTATTGTAGACCCATAGATACCCCAAAATCCAAATTAGAAGAAGAAGGTAACTCCACAATAACTACAAACTCAAAGGGAAAAATGGATTTTCCACAAGAGATACATGAATGCCTAGAAGAAATAAAAGGAGAGATAAAAAATGAAATAAAGACTTCTGGAGGAAAGAATTGGAAGGATAATAAGTAGCTTAGAACAGAAAGCAGTAAACCTTACCCAAGTAATAGATTTCATAAAAATCAAAATAACCTAAACAGAAGTCAACAATTATATGAAACAATAAGAAATTTTAGAGTGAAATCAAAATTAGGGGGAAAAAAAACCCAGAAGAAAATGAAAGGTGTGTTGTCACAAACATCTTACTTGGAAAATAGGTTATGGAGATATCATTTAAGAATCATCAGACTCCCTGAAAACTATAATTAAAAAGAAAGAAAGAAAGAAATCCTAGACACTGTATTTAAAGTAATAATAAATGAAAACTGCCCAAATCTGTTAGAACCGATGGACAATTTTTAGTTCTAAAAGTAGAATTCACTGATCATCTCCTAAAAGATATCCTAAAAGGAAATCTTTTAGGAATGATGTAGCCAAAATATAGAGCTTCCACATCAAAGATACTGAAGAAAAAGTTTAAGTCCCAAGACTAAACTTAAGTTTAGTCAGGACCACATAAGACTTGGCAACTTCTACTATAAATGAAGGGAACTCTTGGAATAATATTATATTCAAAAGTAATAGACTTAACCAAAAATCATTTACCCTGAAAAGTTGGATATTATCCTACAGGGGAAAAAATGGGAGGATTTTCAGGCATTCCTGATGAAAAGACTCCAACTGAGCTGAAACTTTGAACTGCAAACACAAGATTCAGATGAAACCTAGGTAAAATTAGGATGTGCTATATGATATGCTAACGTTCTCATGGGGAGAAATGATAAATATCTCTTCAGAATCTTAACATCTTCAAAGGAAATTAAGGGAGTTGAATAAGACAAATAGAAAACCTGGGAGGTGGGTTGGTTTTGTTCTGCAGGTTTTAAGAGGGGAAAGAAAAAGGAGTGTAAAAGGAAAATACTACTGTGAAAAGGAGGAAGAAAAGGCTGGAGCTTACTATTTTTCATAATTAGGGTATATGAGAAGAGTAAATAAAATTGAAGGAAGGGATTGAAGGATGCAACAGATGAACCTCTTAACTGACCTGAACAAAAGAGGGTTGAACACACACACACACACACACATCCATCAGATGCCACAGGGAAAGAGTAGAAAATAGAAGGAGGGGAGAGTGTTAATAAGGAGGATAATACTGGGGAGGGAATAGTTGCAAAGTGAACTTTAGCTTTGGAGGGTAAACCTGGAAGGGGAGAAATTAAAAGAAAAAAAAAGAAAAGGTAAGAACCAATGTTCAGGGTCTGAGCAAGGGGAAGAGAAGAGGAAGATCGGTGAAAGGGAAGCAGATCAATTTAGTTATATATAACTAGTTTAGTTCATATTCCTTCTTTTTCATTACCTTCCTCTTTGTAAAAGGTAATGAGTTACCTCTTAGAGAAAATAGTATAATAGGTTATGAAGAAAGAAAATAAAAGTGAGCAATCATAGCATTGAATGTGAGTGGAGTGAACTCTGATATCCAAAATGTATGAAAATTTACTCAATCATATAAGAACAGCATTGCCCAGTAGATAGTCAAAGAATATGAAGTCTGTTCTCAAAAAGTGAAACTTGAGCTATCAACAGCCAGATGAAAGTATGATCCAAATAACAGTAAGAGAAATGTGAACTAAAACAACTCTTAGGTTTCACTTTACCCCTATCAGATTGGCAAGGATGACTAAACAGGAAAATGACAATTGTTAGAGAGGCACAGGCATACTTATGAATTGATAGTGAAGTTGTAAATTTGTTCTTCCAATGGAAATAATTTTGGAATTGTTCCCCAAAAGTCATTAAATAACATACATTTTGCTTCAGCAATACTTTTACTAGGCTTGTACTCAAAGAGATCAAAGAAAAAGGTAAAGAACCTAGATATTACATAAGTATAGCAGCACTTTTAGTCATATCAAAGAATTTTAAACTAAGTTGGGAAATGGCTGAACAAATTATGGCATATTAATATTATCTTTGCTGTAAGAAATTACCAAAGAGATCATTTCAGATCATCCTGTAAAGATTTATATGAAGTAATGTTTACCAAAGTGAGTGGAACCAGGAAAACAATTTATACAATGACTACAACATTGTAAAGAAAAGCAGCTTTCAAAGACTTAAGAAATTTTCTCAAAGCAATAACCAAACATGACTCCAGATGACCTGTCTTGCAGTCTGTTACCCATCTCTTGACCGAGAGGTGAGGGACTGGAGGTGCATAAAGGAACATTTCTAGGTGAAGCCAATGTGTGGATTTATTTTCCTTGACTGGTTATCTGTCACAGGGTTCTTTAAAATTTTTTTTTAAATTGAAGGTTGTGGGGAATTGGGGGCAACATTAGGGGCTAGCAATAATAATACTTAAAAAAAGAAGGGAAAAAAACGAGGACCATTGGATTTTTTTAAAAAATTCCCAGAACGGAAGGACGCACAGATAAGTAGAAGAGCTTTGAAAGTATCTTTTTTTTTTTTGAAGTAAAGCAAGTTATATGAGATAGAAATTTTTGGTTTCATATATAACCTTTTTTTTTGGTTCTACTTCATACATAGAAATGCTCATTTTTTGTTAACATTCAGAATTTTAAAAATAATTCCTATAGTACTTTACTTATACCATCCATGGCACTAGCTTATGCTTACTCATATTGTACCTACTTGTATACTGTCTTACTTACTAGATTTGAAAGCTCCTTGAAGATAGAGTCTCATATCCATTCTTGTATCTCCCACAAGATGTTGCATATAGTAGATGTTGAATACATATTTATTAACGAATTTTTCATAGGTGCACTTCTCTGGAAGATTGAACAGAAATCTAACAAGGCATTTGCCTGTGGGAAAGTAACTATCAAAGGAAAGCGGCACTGGTATGAGGCCCTGCCACAAGCTGTTTTTGTAGCTTTAAGTGATGACACTGCTTGGATTATTAGGACTAATGGAGATTTATACTTACAAACAGGTAATTAATTGACTTTGGCATTGAATCATCTTTGTGCTACACCTTTGCTTACTGACTGCACTCTTAGATTAAACCAAAATGTTGAAGGCTGCAGAAGCATAGTTCTTCAGCTACGATTTTAGAGGATCAGTTTCAGTCATGATGCTTTTACGTCTTCTTTTTGTGATATAGTGGTAGCTTAATGCTGTTGATACTTATTCCATTTCCATGCCTGAAACATATTTCTTCCTTGGTTTTAGAGAAGATCTTAGGTACTATCTAGAGCAACTCTCTTGAGAAAACCAAGGCGCAGAGCAATTAAGTATTTTACCCCAGGTACCATAGGTTGACATAGTAACATGGTAGGGCTAGGATTTGAACCCAGGTCCTCTGGCTCCAAATCCAGGATCTTTCTACTACACCAAGCTGCCTGTCAAATCCTCATTTTCTTGAAGTCCATTTCAGGTGCCACCTGTCCCTTGAAGCCTTCCCTGTCCCTCTTTTACCCAGATGAAAGTCATTTTGATCTGCTCAAATTATCTTAGTATATTTTATCTAGATTCCTTCTTTGCCTCTATTACGTTCTACATTACACTGTCCTTATTTGTGTACATGTTATAATCCTCCTTCCTTACCCCTTTGTAATTTTGTAAGCCTCTTTAATGAAGGAACTATTTTGTTTTTGGTCTTTGTATCCCTAGCACCTAGCACAGCTTCATGCATATAAGTGTTTGTTGAACTGAGTTGAATTTGCAAATTGTTCAGGTTAATTTAAAGTGTTTCTTCTTACAACAAATCCAGTGCAAATCATTTATACCGCCTTGCCAAATCTAAAAAGAGACAATTGAAGTGAAATTAATAATAAAATAATTTTTCCTTCCTAGGGCCTACATTAAGCGTACTAAATGTTCTATTTCATGTTCAGAAAATCCTAAGGGAAATTACTTCTAAAAAGTAACAGTTCACCTGGTCCTGGGAAACCTTTAACGTTTGGAGGACATGCAATGGGGCTTGTTTATTAGGAGTAAACAGTAATGAAATTCTTATGTATACTGTTAACAACAACTGAAATATTGTCCTATAATGACAACTTCATTTATCAATCTCTGGGATGCATTATGGGAAGAAGTACCACCTGGCCTGCCCTAATGGACTTGTGTAAATGACATCTGACTAAATTGCTGAGTCTATGAGAATAACTTAATCACTTGGATTTTCAGCAAGTAATAGATGATTTCCAGTTTGTTCCCAATGAGCAAGACTTTTTAGTCTTGCCATTAGAAATGAGTCGCTGTAGAGATCATCTAGATCAGATGTTGGCAACTTTTCCAAAAGATAATATGCTAAGGCTCTGACCTTTGTTTTTCTGATATAAGGTTGTTGAGATCAAGGTGTTGATAACTGAATGGAATTTCTTAAGAGAATAGGCAGCCTAGCAAGAGCCAGAATTGTCCTCAAGTATAAATAAGAGTAGGATGTCTCTATATGGTATGCATCAAAGGGCACCAGAAAAGACTTCCAACCACTCTTTAAAAATATCTTTACTTTGTCATGAGTCTGGAAATTACATTAATTTTTAATTAATTTGGTCAGTCAGATATTTATTAAGTGCCTACTGTGTGCCAGGAACTGCTAAATGCTAAAGAAAGAAAGGCAAAACAGTCTCTACTTTCAAGTAGCTCAGAGTCTAATGGGGAAAACAATATGTAAACTGCTATATATAAACAACACATAGACATGTAAATTGAAGATAATTTCAGGGGAAAGGCATTAAGGGTGATCGGGAAAGGCAATAACTTTAAGGGTGATCAGGAAAGGCTTCTTTCAGAAGGTAAGCTTTTAGCTAAGACTGGAAGGAAGCCAGAGAAGGAGCCAGGAGGTAGAGATGAAGAGGGACAGCATTCTAGCCATGGGAGACAGTCAAAGAAAATGCCTGGAGTGGGCAGATGGAGTGTCTTGTTAGAGGAGCAGCATGGAAGGATAGTGCAAATATAGATATTCCTGGTTTGGCTTTCATTCTTTAACAACTTAGTGTAAATTAGTGAGACTTTTTTCATATAGTGGAAAGAATACTGGGTTTGGGGTCTGGGAGGTTTGAATCCTTGCTCTGCTACTTACCTGTGTGATGTGATGCAAGCCTCTTAACTTCCCTGGCCCTTAATTTTTACATACGTATAATGAAGAAAAAGAAAATTCTAGAGCCTGGGTATGGAAGAGTGTGCAGCTTGGTAGTAATCAGTATGGTAATATGTGATTGCCTGGGAAGCAAGTTCAAGTAGGGCATAGTCATGGTCTGAAACCAGAGAGTACATAGTTTTTTTTAAAAGTTTTAATTATAGAGTTCTGCCTGCTCTCAGGAAAGCCTCACCTGAATTCATTAATACTTTCCTTATAATTGGGAGGTAGCACAATGTAGTGGAAACAGAATTAAATGAGGCATCAAACTGGAACTTAAGTTCCAGTTTTTCTATGTAATTTATTAGCTTTGTGACTTTGGGCAGTCGCCTGCTTGGAACTTACAGTACATTAGAGGCGATAACATTTGTTATGTTGGACTGTCTTGTGCCAGTGGACACACAGGTAAATATAATATAAATTACTATGTGATAAGTACTTAAGGAGGGGTATGAAGTGCTATCAGATTGAAGAAGAAACTTTTTCCCACTGAAAGAATCAGAGAAGGCTTTGTGGAGGAGGTGACATTTGAGCTAAGTCTTCAAAATGAGGTATCAGGTGATGAAAATGAGCGGGCATTTCAGGAGTAGGATATCAGTGTGATCAAAGGCACAGGCAGGAAAATGTGGGCCATATTTGGGGAAAAGTGAATAATTAAGTTTGACTAAAGCATGGAGTGATGAGATGTGGGATAAGAAAAGTCCAGGAAGACAGTGCAGCCTTCAGTATGGAAAGGCTTGGGTGCTAGAATAAGGAGTCTGGTAGAACATGGAAGATTGTTGAAGGCTTCTGGGCAAAGGAGGAAATGGATCAGAGAGGCATAGTAGTGTGTGAGGTATTGGAGGAGGAGAGGGTCTAGAGTATTGAAGCTATCCAGGAGAGACATAATAAGTATCTGAACTAGCATGGCAGCTATAGGTATAAATGAGAAATTTTAAATGTCGTGATTCTTTGGGACTTTTTATCTTTGTCTTACTTAAAGGTTTGAGTGTGGATCGTCCTTGTGCCAGAGCTGTGAAGATTGACTGCCCATATCCCCTTTCCCAGATCACATCTCGAAACAATGTGGTATGGGCATTAACTGAACAAAGGGCGCTTCTGTATCGAGAGGGAGTGAGCAGCTTCTGTCCAGAAGGGGAACAATGGAAATGTGACATTATAAGGTAATAAGACCTTGTTAAGGAAATCCTTTAAAAAATTGGATTGCCAAATAGAAGAGTGTTGTGTACTCATTTATAATCCAGTGTATTGAAAGTGCTTTCTGTCTATAATAAGCTTTGATGGAGATAATTTCTTTATTCAGAATCTGACTTCTCTTTATTCTCAGAGATTTCTTTTTCCATATTTAGTAAAACTGAGGGGAGTCTACTTTAGCCTAGTACCAGAGTTTCAATTTTCATCTAATTCTGTTAAAATTAGCCTTTATACTTGACACGTAATTGACACTCAAAATATTTCTTATTGTTTGTACCAATTAAGGTTGTTGGTATGAAAGTGTTCATAGTTCTAAGAAAGAACAGACAAAGATTTTGGTTTGAACAGCCCTAGAATGCTGAATCATCTTTTTTTTCTGAGTTGTTATAATGTGGTACAAAAGAATAAGAACTTAGGGAGCCTTTGCTGCTTTTCTATCCCATCACTACCCTTCCTCTTGCTCCCCTTTTGTACACTGAAGTCAAACTCTGGTTCCTCCTCATGTCATGGAGGTGACTTAGGTTCTCAGAGCCATGTGTTCTGCTGCATGATGGTAGAGTACAAATCCCCACATCCTTCACTTCCTTGGAGGTTGATTGTTAGGTACTTAAGGGTAAGACTGTGCCTTGGTCGTTTTATTCAGTGGACATTTAATTATTGAATGGCAAATATTGGAAATTTGAATATGTAATCTAGTTATTTACTTTTTTTCTTCGATTTTTGATGCCTGCAGTGAAAGGCAAGCTTTGGAACCTGTGTGTATAACTCTTGGAGATCAACAAACCATATGGGCTTTGGACATCCATGGAAATCTCTGGTTCAGAACTGGTGTTGTTTCCAAGAAACCTCAAGGAGATGATGACCATTGGTGGCAAGTAGGCATTCAGCTATCAGTAAGGACCACTGTCTATCCATAGGTAGTCTCAGGAGATCCCAAGATCCCTTTCTCTCTCTCTCTCTCTCTCTCCATGTTAAAAGCATCATAGCATTTTCATCATTGAAAAGATAGCTTGGAAATCCTACTTTAATTAAATACAGCAGGCTTTATTTTTCCTATTTAGAAATGTGCTAGCATGTGTAATAGTAACAAAAAAGAACCTAGCAACAGCAGTCTGAACATCTAGTTAATGATGTTGTTTATATCTGTGGAAATGTATTAAGGGAGAGAACAGTAGATGTATATATAGTACTAAACTACAATTAAAGTACATGTGTCTACTTATTTAAAAGATTTGTTTGAAATTTATTAAGTAAAGGCAATTTCAGGGAAGAACTAATTTTTTTCTTTCAAATATTTCCAGAAATTGAGATATTTTGAGCATGTAACAGGATGATACATCTTAAAAGTCTTTTCATATGGCTATCCCAGTGATTTCTTGTGTGTCTTAGCTCTAGAATAACTAAGAGTTTACCCTCAAAGGAAATTGTGTCACTTTTCTTTCTTTCCTCTTCCACCTCCACATAGATACATACTTTGGTAGCTTTCACTGTTGATGTAATTTCGTTGCCAGTCACCAAAGATCTACTGTAAAAGTTAATAAGGGATGACACTGAAAATAAAGTTTTGGAATATGTCATATTTTGAGGTTCAGGTTTATTTACACAGGCAGTCATACTGCTTATTTTTCAAGTGGTTGTAGGTCCTTTATATGAGCAAAACCCTTTTTTGGTCTCAGTTGCTTTATTTGTCAAATAAAGAGGATTGGATGAGGTGACCCTTACTGTCCCCCCCAGCTTTAAATGTATGACAATGAGAATGTGGAAAAAGAAGTCATGTTTGGTTTTAATAACGATTAAACTTTCTTTTGCTGAGTCAGAAAAATAAAGATTTTTCGGGTTTTTTAAATCTGTATTTTATGATTTAAACAAAAACACGTGTGGGCAAAACATTCTGGAGTATCAAGAGTGTCTACTACTATCTGCTTATGTATTTTTCCAAGCACTCATTTTTTACTGATTAAGGTATGCAACCTCAATGACTCTTTGTATATACTCTGTTATCTTATGGTCAAACCTCACTAGAAATGACCAATTTGAAAAGAATTTTTACTAAATGCTACAGTGATTCTCTTCACTTTCATTCTTGACTAGGATACCAGATACCTTCTAGCCAAACTGACCAATTTGTTGTTCTTCAAATTTATTATTCTGTCTCCCACTTCCATGCCTTTTCACAGTCTTTCCCCTTCATGCATGGAACATACTCCCTCCTTACCTCTTCTACCTCTAGAAGGAATCTGTAGCTTCTTTCAAGGCTCAGTTCATGTGTCTTTTCTGATCTCTGCAGTTTTTAGTACTTTCTCCTTCCTCAAATGATTGTGAATGAACTTATCTATTTACATGTTATTTTTTCCCTTGTAGAAAGAACATCAAGTAATAGAAGGCAGGGACTGATTTTCTTTTTGGTTTTTGTATTACCAACACCTAGCACATATTTATCTATAACAGATGCTTAATAAATACTTTTTGGATTGGATTAAATAGACTAGCATAGAGACTCTCATACTTTTTGTTCTTGGGTCCCATTTACACTCTTAAAAATGATTGAGGAGCATTCTCCCCTCCTTATCTCCTTCCCCTCCCCCGCCCCTGCCAAAAGCTTTTGTTTTATGTGTGTTGTACCTATAGATACTTATATTCAAAATTGAACATCTTAGTATTGTTATAAAAATAGTTTAGACTTTGCTATCTCCCTGAAAAAGTCTCATGGACCCTTAGAAGTGTCTGGACCACACTTTGAGAACCGAGGGGCTTAGGAGGTAAGCATTTGACCCAGGTCATTAAGGGAATTTGAAAACAGAAATTCAGAGAGATGGATGTAGAGTAGGAACTAACCACAGAACTAGCAGGTGTACAAATGAGCTCATGGCCGTCATATTTTATGGTGTTCTTTCTAGGTGAGCATCACAGATTATGTGGTGTTTGACCAGTGCAGCTTATTCCAGACAATAATTCATGCCACACACACAGTGGCAACAGCTGCGCAGGCCCCTGTGGAGAAGGTGGCAGACAAGCTTCGAATGGCATTTTGGTCACAGCAGCTTCAGTGCCAGCCGAGCCTGCTTGGTGTCAACAATAGTGGTGTTTGGATCTCGTCAGGCAAGAATGAATTCCATGTAGCAAAAGGAAGTCTAGTAGGTTAGTGGATTTTTTTATTCCTGTTGTTCCTAAGAGGTAACTTCATTCTAAAATTAAGTGCTGAAAGATAAGCTTTAAACCTTCAAATGGAAAAGATGCATGGTTAAAAGATGGTGGTTTGAGTACAGATTAATAGAAAGGAGTCTTAAAGTTGTATGATTACTCTCTGTATTTAAAAACCTGGCATTACTTTTGTTAGAAACACCAATGTCTGGATGGTAAGTGATGAATTCCTATCACAAATGTATTATGATATGTTATGAATTGAGTAGTTATAAGTGACCATTATATAAATTTTATATTTACATGGAAAAAAAACTCACCCAAGCTTCAAACTTCATAAGATCACAATGAGGTGGAATATTGTATCTCCCTGAGAAAAAAATCCTACCACTGCTTAAAATGGAATAATTGTAAAGGCTCTTCAGAGAGCTTTATGATTAAAATGTAGTCAGTTCATTTTCTGTGAATAAATTGCCTACTTTGTGAATTTTTCGTCATACTGAACTTAACTGTTACCTCTCCTACCTTGCCCTCAAAAAAAAGATGAGTTCATACACGTCTTTGTGTGTATCTGTCTTGACAGTATTCTCAAGTAAAACAGACATAAAGCTTGAGATCCATTCTTCTGTATTAACTAGATAATCCACAACTGACTGTGAGAGGATTTGGTTAATTAAAAGTCACATAAGAAGAAGGAACCAAAATGATTAGTTCTCTTAATTGCTTCCAGGGACGTATTGGAATAATGTTGTTCCACGTGGTACTGCTTCAGCAACAAAATGGGTGTTTGTGTTGGCTTCTGCTGCTCCTACTAAAGAAGGTGGGTCAGTTTTTATTTAGGAAATTTAATGCGTAGGTCAGTTGTATAAATGAGTTCAAGCCAAATTTTATTATTGTTTTCTACTTGATAGTGAATGGTGTCATCTTGCAGGCATCTCAGACACGCATACAGATATGATAATGCAGTTTTCAAAGCATTTATTAGCCATTGCCATGAACAAGACAGTACCAGCCACATGAAGCAATTTAGATTGGGTTATCCAAGGGAGCTAGTGCTAGAGAAAAGATCAATTTTCCTAAAGTTTGTTTATATCTAAAAGCATAGTACTTTTATCCTTAATACAGGGATAGACAGAATTTGTCTGAAGTAAGCATCAGATGATTTTCAATGGCACACAAAAATACCCTTTAGTAAAATTGAGGAGGAGGTGATTTTTGTCCTTCCCAAGTCTTTTTTTGTACCACTTTCTCACCTCCTAGCAGCCTGTAACACTTACCCTTAAGCATCCAGTGCCTTTATTTTCCCTCTAGTTATCTGAATCCCATGTTTGTCACTTCCACTCAGACCGGTCTGCCTAGAAATGTTCTTTACATTCTTCTGCCCTCTGAAATTTCTTTATTGTATCATGATCTCCTATTCTGTGTCATTTTATTTCTTATTACTAAACCTCTTCCCTGTCCTTAGAGTGACCTTCAGTCTCTCACAATTCCTGTTCTCTTATCCATTGTTCTTGCTCTGCTGCACTTTCTTCCTTTCATAGTCTTGACTCCATGATTCGTTCATCCATATACTATCTTCTACCCTTCAGTCTCTTGATCCCTTGTTCTATTCTTATGCCTTAATAGATTCCAACCCTTGATTACCACATCCCAGCCCCTATCTGCTTTCTCTACTCTTACTCAGTTGCTGTTGAAAACTATAGGAGGAAATCCCACGTTAAAAAAAAAAAAAGACCTATGTTCACTGATCTCAGGCGGGTCCTCATTGCTGTACTGGAATACTTACGTTCTTCCCAGATTGACTTTATTACAATATTCACAGTGGATAACCCTCCAGATAGGAGCTCCACTTCTTCCTTCCTCTCAGCAAGAAACTTCATCTTCTATTTTACTGATAAAATAGAGGCTATTTGCTTTGAGTGCCTTCTTCTCTGTTCCACATAAACTTTTCAAAACTCTCCTACGTGAACTCCTGGTTTGCTCCAGTCTCAGAAAAAGGTGGCCCTTCCTTTTGCCAGAGCCAGCCTCTCTGCTGTGCTTGTGCCCTTGATCCCATTGCCTCCTGTCTTTTTGTGTAACTTTTCTTTCTAGATCATTTTCTTCCTGTCTGGCTGTCAAATCTTCATTCTCTTCTTGTCCACTGTTTTCTCCCTACTGCCTGCCAATATATCTGGGTCTCCCCCATTGTTAAAATACCTAGACTTTATCCTTTTAAGCTGTTGCTCTATATCTTCCCTTTACATTTTTCTGCCCAAATCTTAGAAAAAGCTGTTTTCCTCTTGTTATTTCACTTATTTTCTTAGCTGCTATGTTTTTTTAATGATGAACTTAATAACTAATAAACATGAAAATTTTAATATACAAAAAATAAAGAATACATGTGAAACAGAACTTCTCTTACGTCTGATTTTTTTAAAAGATGCCTATTAAACTTAACTGGGAATGACAAAATTGCCATTTATGTCACCTAAATTTCTCTTAATTTTATTTTTTGTAATTATTAAATGTTTTATTGATGTTCTTTCCCTTTCTCCCTTCCTCCCTTCCTTCCTTCCTTCCTTCTTCCCTTCCTTCCTTCTTCCCTTCCTCCTGTCCTCCCTTCCTCCCTTCCCTTTCTTTCCCTTTCCTTAACTACCCACTAACACATCCTTCTTACCCCAAATAAAAGTTCCCCTTGAAACAAATAAGTTTATTCAAGCAAACAGTTTTTCACATTGGCCATGTGTGAAAATGTACGTCTTATTCTGTACCTCTAGTCCATCATCTTCCTGTCAAGAGATAGCTGGCATGCTTTATTATCAGTCTTCTGAAGCTGTGATTCGTTACTGCATTGATTAAAACTGTGTAATCAAAGTTATTTTCTGTTGCATCATTGTGGTCATAAAAATTGTTCTCCTGATGTATCCCTCTCCGTTAGTTCTTGTAAGGCTTTATCTTTTTTCTCTGAGTATCATATTTATCGTTTCTTACTGTGTATATTCAATATTTCTTGTTGTTCATAGCTTTCCACTTAAAACCATTTATTCATCTTTTTCCTAATTGATAGGGACCTACTTTGTTTCCAAATCTATGATACAGTAAGAAGTACCGTTATAAATGTTTTTGTGTTTGCAGGTCCTTTCCCTCTCTGTCTTTGATTTCTTTATGGTATATGCCCCGACTCAATTCTCAGCCCCTTTTAGTCTAGCTTTCAACTCTAATACTGAACTGAAACTGCTCTTTGTAGGATTGCTGGCGATCTTTTGACTGCTGACTTCTTTGGCTCTTTTGACTGACTCTGGCCTTATTTGACTTGACCAATTTTGTGTCATTTGACACCAGTGGTTACCTCTCTTCTTGGATAGTATCTCCTCCTTTGTCTTTTATGACGCTGTTCACTTTTAGTTTTTTTCCTACCTGTGTGACCACCTCTTATCAGCCTTCCCTAAAGGATCATCATTCGTTTCCTACTCCCTAAGCACGGGTGGCCCCAATGCCCTTTCTTGGTACCTTTTCATTCTACACATAGTCTCTCAATGGTTTTAAAAATTTTTATAAATCATTTCTTACTGTTAAATAGTTTATTATCCTCTCTTTAAAAACCTTGCTGTCACTTTCCAGTGATCCCTTTGCCCATAATAGAATCCTCCCTTGTAGTAAAGATGTACAACTAAGCAAAACAAATCAGCACATTAGCTGTTATTGAATGTGAATACCTTATTTTACACTTTTAGTCTCACACCTCTCTCATGAGAAGGAGGGGCCTTCGTTACCAGCATTCTTCTGAGCTCATGATTGGGCACTTCATTGGTTAGAATTCTCAAGTCTTTTGATGTTTTATGAATTATGTATATTATGATATATTTTGTTGTATTATGTGACATTATTATATCTTCATAGTATTGTGTTCATCATGTGAGTTGTTTTTCTGGTTCTTTTTTTACTTCACTCTGTATCAGTTCATACCAATCTTTATAAGTGTATGGAACACTAAACTTCTCTGTCCAGTTGCTTTGGGGTCTGACTTACCTGGTGTTTTCCTTTGATCAATTTTTCTAGTTTTTAACCAATACCAAATAGTTTTGATGATTACTGCTTTATAAAAGTATAGTCTGAAATTTGAACAGGGACTGCTTTCTTTTGGAATTTGTATCATTAGTGCATAACACAGTGCTTTACAAATAGTAGGTGCTTCATAAGCGTTAATAAAATTGAATCGAATTGAACTGTATTTTTAGGGTTTTGTTTATGCTAAAAGGTATAAGAAGTGTAAACAAGTTTGTAGAAAATAAAATTTATTACCCAGTAGGCAATGGCTGCACATGTAAACAGGAAATTTTCTAAAGAGAAAGCACAAGTTGTCAAGAACCACCTAAAAAGCTTTGTTTTCTAATAACTAGAGAAATGCAAATCAAAGCAGCTGTTAAGATATCACCTTAGGCCCATTAAGTTGGCAAAAGTAGTTAAGACTAATAAGGTTCAAGGCTAGTTGGACTGTGCAAAGACAGGATCTTTATTCCAGTTGTAATTGAGCTGTGAATTGGTGCAGTCTTGTTAGGAAGCAGTAGGACATTATCCGAAATGAGCTACAAAACTGTATATACCCTCTCAACAGTGTTAAAGATGTCAAACAAAAATAGTCCTGGCTCCAGGAGCTGCCATAGTAAAATCATAAAGAGCCTTTGTGTACAGCAGTTAGGAAATGACTGAACAATGTGATATGTAAATGTAATGAGATATCATTGCATCGTAATACAAAGAAATAAGGGAAGAATGATATGAAATGATGTGGACTGAAGAAGGTAGACCCACAAGAAAATACATTCTTTTTTTTTTGGTGGTGCAGTTGGGGTTAAGTGACTTGCCCGGGTCACACAGCTAGTAAGTGTCATGTGTCTGAGGCCAGATTTGAACTCAGGTCCTCCTTACTCCAAGGCCGGTGTTCTACCCACTGCACCACCTAGCTGTCCCAAGAAAATACATTCTAAAGATAAGAACAGCAACAAAATCTAGGAAAATTGGAAGGAAGAAAACTCTAAACAGGAAATGGAAATAAACAGGATAATTTAGTAACTCATTTTGATAGAGGTAAATGTAGAGAGCCAGTCTTAGAGCCAAGAAGACCTAGACCTGGGTTCAGTTCCTGCTTCTAACACACCTGTCTGTGTGAAACCTTGGGCAAGAGTCATGTGACCTCTCAGAATTCTAAGACTAAGTTGAAGAAGAAGTGCTAACCTGCATGGGTATAGGTCCTTATCAGAGAGTTTACTATAACATTGAAATGCTGGGGTTAAAGTTAATATGTACATTTTAATAAACTCTAATAAAGGAAGTTTTTCATGTACAGTCTTAAAAATATTCTTGTTTGTGTATTTGAATATGTTTGATAATTACTAAGTTTATAAAAAGAAATTTTTAAAAGAATAGGGTCATCATTTTGCACTCTATTTCTTAAAACATTGCCAAACTTTTTATCTAAAGTGGAAATTAAGGGTTTTTTTTACCTTAATAGGAAAATTAAGTTATATGAAGAAAGGCAATCCTATATTAATGAACGTCAGTAACCACAGCACTGGTTCAGAACTTTCCAATAAAGGCTGTAAAAAGTTAGCTGAGATTTGTAGCCAAAAGAAAATTCCTTCAGTCCTTTTCATTGTGCTTTTTCAGCAATTCAATTAATATTAAATACTTCCTGAGTCCCAAATTCTGTTAGTTCCTTGGGAAGGAGAAAAAATTAGGTAAGATACTGTTCTTACTCTTAATAAAGTTTACTGTCTAGTGGAGAATAGAACATGTACACAAATAACTATAATTCATTTGTTAACTCATTCATTCAGTAAATATTTATTAAGTGAGTATAATGTCCAGAGCACTGTACTTGAGGAGAGAAGGAAGGAGACAGGGAAAGAATAAGCATTTATATAGCACCAACTTTGTGCCAGGCACTAAGCTAAGCACTTTTTTTACAAATATTATCTCATTTGAGCCTCACAATAACCCTGTGAGGTAAATGCTATTACCCTCATTTTATAGTTGAAGAAAGTGAGGCAAACAGTTTAAGTTACTTGTCTATTCCTTTGCAGAGATGGAAGTTCCACAGGTACACATATGCAATATATTTTCAGATTTTGTTTGATGTATTGATTGGTTTTGCTGATTTTTTTCTTCTATTCTTTTTGCGTTTAAAAAAATCATTTGTTAGGGGCAGCTAGGTGGTGCAGTGGATAGAGCTCTGGCCTTGGAGTCAGGAGGATCTGAGTTCAAATGCGGCCTCAGACACTTGACACTTACTAGCTGTGTGACCCTGGGCAAGTTACTTAACCCCAATTGCCTCCCCCCCCAAAAGAAAAAAAAGATTTGTTACATGGGGTGGCTTTCTGGGAGAGGGTAGGCAGAAGGATACTGGGGTAAATTTTGATGGTATAAAAAAACAGAAGATAGCAACAAAGTGTATTTTAAAAAATATATCAGTCCCATGGCATCAAGTATCGATCTGTAGGATACATATACAAGTAATTAGAATACAAGATAAGGCACGATAAGTTCATTGGAAAAGTGCAAAAAAACCCAAAACCAAAACCCTCTAAAATGTAAAGGGTAAAAGGCCTCGTTTTGTGTTACTTCGGTTACCCCTCATTCTAATTGTGTTGACAGCATTGTTTCAAATGGACTTTGTATCTGAGTTTGAGTTAGCTAACCAATAGAAGCATGACGAGCAATAGAAGTCACCAGCAAGCTTGTATTTTAGTCAGTAGCTCTACAGTTTTGGTAGTTTGCTTGACATGTGCATAAAATTAAAATGCTGCCTTGTTCTACATTTAGGCCCGATGACTCACTTGTGAATGGAGTTTAACAACAAATGTGGGTATTTCTTTTTACAGGAAGCTTTTTGTGGTTGTGCCAGAGTGCCAAGGATCTGTTTTGTGTGAGTGACCAGAATCCGCAATTCCGTCCTTCTACAGTCCAGCTTCCTCCTGATACTGAAATGAGAGCATACTCTGCCTGCCAAGACGCCATATGGGGCTTAGATAGTTTTGGACAAGTGTTTATCAGAACACTGTCCAAAAGTTGCCCAACAGGAATGCATTGGATGAGGCTGGACCTTTCTCAGCTAGGTATGACTATTGAGTTATCTTTCTTTAAATTATGATTTAAGTCACCTACCATGATGCAGAGGAAAGAATGCTGAATTTGGAATCAGGACATCTAGACTTAAAATTTGGCTCTGAAACTTCCTAGCTAAGTGATCACAGGCAAGTTACTTCATGATATTTGTCTAAAACAAAGTAGTCATGTTTGTACCAACCTGCTTGATTGGGTGGTTTTGGGTAAAGCACTTTATAAATCTTAAAATGTTAAACAAATGTCTTTATTATTCTTATAATTTTCCTGGATAAATCATGTTAACAAGTATTTATTAAACACTTTGTGCCATGTACTGTATAAAGTGGTCAAAAACAAAGGAAAGCGAAAAACACAGTTCCTATCCTCAAAGAGCATATAGTCTAATGGGAGAGACATGTAAATAACTAGCCACATAAAGGTATATTCAGATTAAATGGATGGTCGTCTCAGAAGAGAAGGCACGAGCAGCATGAGAGACCCGGAAGGGCCTCTCTCAGAAGGTAAAAATTGGAACTGAAGTCAGGCAAACTCAGAGGCAGAGGTGAGGAAGGAAAGCTTTCCAGGCATGAGGGATGGCCAGGGTAAAGGCACAGAGGTGGGAGGTGATGGAGTGTCTTAAGTGAGGAGCAGCAAGGAGGCCAGTGTAGTTGGATCATAGAGTGCATGGAGAGCAGTAAAATGTGGGACGGTGAGAAAGATGGAAGGGACCAGATTGTAGAGAATAGGACTTAATATATAATCCTGGGGGTCATAAAGAGCCATCAGAGTTTATTGATTAGAGAGGGATAACATGGTTAGATCCATGCTTTAGGACAGTCATTTTGACAGTTGAGTGGAGGATAGACTGGATTGGGAAGAGACTTGAGGCAGGGAAGACAGTAGAGGCTATTGCAATATTCCAAGTGTGAGAGCTAATAAGGGCCTGTAGTGGGGAGTGAGCAGTGTGAGTGGAGAGAAGTGGACTATGTGAGAGGTGTTGTGAAGGTAGAAACAACAACACTTAACAGATTGGATATGGGGATGAGTGCACGTGAGAAGTTGAGGAGGACACAGGTTGTGAGCCTGATGAGGGTGGTGCCCTCAGTAGTAATAGGGAAGATAGGAAGAGGAAAGGATTTAAGGGGAGAGAGAGTTCTGGTTTTGGAGTTTGATGTGCCTGTGGGACATCCACTGTGAGATGTATAAAGGGCAATTCAGTTTAAGGCAAGCCTTTAAAGGCCATTCAAGCTCAGGGGTGAGACTAGGACTTCAAAATCTTCTGTATAGAGATAAACCTGTGGGAGCTGATGAGATCACCAAATGAAGTACTGTACAACAAAAAGAGAAAAGCATGCAGGACTGAGTCTTGGGAGGCACTCATGGTATAACATGGTTGAAGAACTAGCAGAGGAGACTGAGAAGGAATGGTCAAATAGACTTCCTTATTTCACCTTATAGTCTAGTCCCAATGTAAAGACTGACAGAAATTCACTTTGTTAAATTGCTTTACTTTTGTGAAATTTCTCCTGAAAGTTTCTAAATTTCTTAATAGTACACATGTACTAAATGCTCTATCTATATTTTTATCTGTCTGTCTGCCTTCCTCATTATAGCCCTTCATATACTTGAAGGTCCTTGATTCTTCTCTTTTCCAGTCTAAATACCTCCATTTCCTTCAAGTGTTTCAGTTTCCCTCCTTTAGATGCTTTCTAGATTACAAACAACCTTCCTAAACTATGTTGCCCAGAACTGAACAGAATAATATAGAGGTGGTCTGATGAGGGCAAATAATGATTGAAGATTTTTAAGTAGAAGAATATGATAAAATTGTGCATTAGGCAGTTAAAGTCCAGACTAGTCTTGGGTTCTTTACAATGTGACTGTTATCTGTCTTTCCAGACTTATTTCCTATTACTCTTCTACATGTGCCCTATACTTGTCAGACTGAACTACTTACTGTTTAACAAAAGTGCCCAAGATTTTCCAGCCTTGTTGCCTTTTGTTCATGCTATTTACCCTCTACCTGGAATGCCTTCCCTCACTTCTCCTTGACAACCTTGCCTTTTAAAATTTTACTCATCCTTCATGGCCTAGCTCAAATACCACCTTTTTTGTGAAGTCTTCCCAATACCAACTCCATAGTATCTCTGTTATCCATCCTCTTCTCTCCACTCAAATAGGCATCAGCCTCTTGCCTGGACTGTTGTGATAGCCTCCTGATTGGTCTCCCTGCCTCAAGTCTCTCTTCTCTCTCCAAGCTAACCTCCATATAGCTGCTAAAGTGATATTCCTGAAGCACAGATCTGATCATGTTACTCCCCTACTCAAAAAGTCCAGTAAGTCCTTATTGCCAACACAGCCATTCAATTGGCAAACCTTGTCATTACTATTTCTACAGCATTTCTGCAATTATCTCCTTTTCTCCACTCAGACAGCCACAACTCTAGGCCCTTATACCCCTCACCTAGACAATTGCAAAAGCCTCCAGTACTTCATCTCACCCAATCTGGTCTATATGCACTGCTGTTAAAGTAATTTTCCTAACATGCAAATAAGATTATTGCCACTTCCATCATCAAAAAATCTCCAGTGGCTTCCCATTGCCTCTAGGTTCAAATATAAAGTGCTCTGTTTGACTATTTTTTTTTTAATGATTAGCTTGACAGAAATCAACAAACATGAACTTTCCACATACAAAGAACAGATAAAGAGAATTGTACATGAAACTGGGAATCTATATTTATATACAACTTGTTTTTATAAGTATATAACAAATTCAGTACTGTAATTCTAAAACTGCTCTGCTTGTTTGTATCTCCTACTGAACTTCCTTCTGTTTTCTTCTGTGCATTTAAAATGTTTCATTAATATTCATTTCTTTTCTGTTTTTGTTATCATTAATCACTATTCCCTGCTCTGTCTGTAACTCTCACCTCTCCCTGCAAAGTAAAAGTCCTTTCCAGTAACAATAGTCATCAGTCATCAAGAATCATCAAAACAAATACACACAAAATAGATATTTTACTCTGCACCTTTAGTCCATCACCTCCAAATCAAGAGGTGGTAAACAGGATTCAGAATCAGTCTTCTGAGTTGGTCACTGCATTGTTTATACTTTTTTTTTTTTGGTGAGGCAGTTGGGATTAAGTGACTTGCCCAGGGTCACACAGTTAATAAGTGTCAAGTATCTCAGACTGTATTTGAACTCAGATTCTCCTGACTCCAAGGCCAAAGCTTTATCCACTGTGCCACCTAGCTGCCCCTATGGTCACTGCATTGTTAAGAGTTCCAAAGTCTTTCAGAGTTGTTTTCCTTTATTACCATGTTGCTGTCGTTGTATAAATTGTTTTCCTGGTTCTGCTTACTTTATTTTCCATCAGTTCATACAAGTCTTCCAGATTTTTATGGATCTGTTGCTTTGTTCATTTCTTTTCCTTCCTTCCTTTCTTGTGCCCTTTGCTGTTTTAAAAAAATATTTTATTCTGAATATGACAGTCATTAATAATTTCAGTATACAAAAGACAGGAAAAATAGTATCGTATGTGAAACTATGAACACATGTCATGTAGATTATTTTAAAAAAATATAAATCATTAATATGGTAACAACACTGTCTTTCTTTTCTTTATCCCTTTCTGAACTTCCTTTTGCTCTCTTCTGTGTATTTTAAAAAATATTTCACTGACACTCTTTTCTTCTTTTTTAAATATCAGTGTCACTGTGTGTCACTTTCCTCTATATTACTGTCTCTCACCAAATCAAAATTTCCACCTTGTAACAAATAATTATAGTCAGCCAAAATAAATTTGTGTTATGATGTCTAAATAGTATATAGTTATAGTGTCTAAAAATGGATGTCTCATTCTGTACCTGCAGTCAAGCACTTCTCCACTAAGTGGTGGGAAGCATGTTTCATCATTGTCCTGGACTCCTGATTGGTCACTGAAGAGAGTTCTTAAATCTTTCAAAACTATCCTTTACGATGTTGTTATCATTATATAAATTGTTCTCCTGGTTATGCTCATTTCATCATCAGTTCATACTTTTGCATCACTTCATACACGTTTTCCTAGGTTTCTCTGAATTTGTCCCTTTTATTATTTATTAGGGCTCAATAATAGTCCAGTATATTCATATACCATAATTTGTTAAGCTATCACCCATTTGATGGTCACTTGCTTTGTTTTTTGTTCTTTGCTACTTCAAAAAGTGTTGCTATATGTATTTTTATACACGTAGGGCCTTTCATGTCTTTGGGATACATGCCTAGTGGTGGTATAGTTGTTTCAGAGGGTATGCACAATTTAATAACTTTTGTGGTATTCTGAAATAGCTGGACTAATTTATAGCTCAACTAACAGTGCATTAGGATGCCTGTTCTTCCATAGTCCCCTCCAGTGATTGTCATTTTTTTTTTGTCATCTGACCATTTGTTGTGGTGTGGAAGCTCAAAGATGTTTTAATTTTCATTTCTCTTTTTATTAGTCATTTGGAGCATTTTTTCATAAGGTGGTTGATAGCAAGTATTTCTGAGAACTGCCTTTTCATTTCCTTTGACCATTTATCTCTTGTTATATATTTGAATCAGTCTCTGTCTTTGAAGGGCCTTCATGACCAGACCTCAACCTACCTTTCATGCCTTTATTTACCTTCCTACACTGTACATTCCAGACAGACTAACTTTGTTACTGCTCCTCACACATGATACTTCATATGCTGTCTCCCTTTCTTTGTGCTGGCTGTCACCTTTTGCCTGGAGTACACTTCCTCCTCACCTGTATGTCTTAGAATCATGTTTCCTTCAAAAGTCAGTGCATATAACACCTTCTACATTAAGTCCTGATTCCCAGCTACTAGTGCCCTCTATCAAAAAAAAATTGCCTTGTAAATGTTTTGTAGATAGGTATATTTGTATGTATTTTCTCTCCAGTAGAATATGAGCTCCTTGAAAGTAGGGACTGTTTCATTTTTATCTTTATCCGTGGCTTAAGTATCAGTGCCTAACACATAG